GTTCGGGCTGACCCAGACAAGGTCAAGGCCATAGCAGCATGGTCGACGCCCCGATCCCAGAAGGATCTTCGAAAGTGGTTGGGCTTGGCCAACTACCTTCACAAGTACAGCGCTGGGTACGCCGGCTTCGCTAAGCCCTTGTCGAGCCTCCTTCAGAAGGACGTCGACTGGCGCTGGGAACAAGAGCACCAGGATGCTTTTGACAGCATCAAGGCCAGTCTCCAAGAGGCCCCTGTCCTGGCCCTGCCGGACGAGACGAAGCCGTTTAGCGTCGTCTGCGATGCCTCCGATTACGCCATCGGGTGTGCATTGCTGCAGGACGACACGGCTGGACAGGAACGAGTCATCTCGTTCCAGTCCCGGCAGCTCAAAGCCGCCGAGCGGAACTACCCTGTCCATGACAAGGAGCTCCTGGCAATGAAATATGCCCTTGTGAAGTTCCGTGTTCACCTTCTGGGCTCTAGGCCCTTTGTGATCTACACAGACCACGCGTCCTTGAGGACGGCGACTAACTCGCCTCACCTCTCCCAAAGGATGGCGAGGTGGCTGTCCTTCTTCGCGGAATACAACTTCCGCGTCGAATACAAGCCGGGCAAGCTCAACGTGCTTGCGGACGCCCTCTCTCGGCGTCCCGACTATGAGTTGGCCCGCATCACGCGGGTGACATCGGATCTATATGATCGGATACGCATGGCGTATCGGGACGATGAGGCTGTCGCGCCTATCGTCAAGTTCCTTAGGGCCGGAACGAGCGCGAAGTCCGACTGGCTCTCGTCGCGACAGCGCTCACGGCTCCACCGATATGAGTTGAAGGAGGGCCTCCTCTATTATCGGGTGGAGCCCACTGATCCTCCACGGGTGGTCGTACCCAACGACGAGGATCTGAAGTTCGACATCCTCGCGGAGGCGCATGACGCGCCCTCCAGCGGCCACTTATGCCGCGAGAAGACCTTTCTGTCGGTCTCTCAGTCCTTCTGGTGGACCCACATGTACAAGTGGGTCGCCCGGTACGTCAAGACATGTGAAACATGTCAGCGGGTTAAACCCGCAGGGCACTCTTCGGCTCCATTACAGAGCCTGCCCGTACCGGCTGATTGTTGGACGTCGATGAGTCTTGACTTCATCTTTGGGCTTCCCGCCGACGGACACGGCAACACCGGAATTTTGGTGTTCGTGTGTCGGCTGAGCAAGATGATACATCTTACTCCGGTTTCCGTCACCGTCACAGGCGAACAAACCGCAGGGTTGTTCGTCGATGGCGTGTTCCGCTATCGCCGTCTCCCAGAGACGATTGTCTCGGACCGAGACCCGCGGTTCACTGCTGCGGTCTTGGAAAACGCTGTTCCCTTTACTGGGAACTCGTCTGCAGATGTTCACTGCGGATCATCCGCAGACAGACGGCCAAACAGAGCGCGTCAATCGAGTGCTCGAGGACACTCTGCGCAGTGTGTGCGCGGCAGCGCCACGTACGTGGTCGTCGCAGCTTCCATTTGTTGAGTTTGCGCTTAACAACGCTGTGCACGCGTCCACGGGGTTCACGCCGTTCTACTTGAACGGCTTCCGCCACCCCAGAGTGCCTCTCACTCTTCGAGGAGACACTGACTCCTCCATCCCCGATGTGGGGGAGAGGCTCGAAAAGCCCTTTACTCCCCGGTTCTCGGATGTGAGGCCCGATTTTTCGCCTGTCGCGAAACAGGTGAAATCCTTTGTGGATACCAAGCTGAACATTGTCAGCAGGGTCCGCGATGCCATGGCAGCGGCCCAAGATAAACAAAAGGAGTACTCAGACAAATAAGGAAGAGGAAACTTAAGTATATTTGAGGTTGGTGACTTAGTGTTGCTAGACACGAGGAACCTACCTCTAGACACTGTTAGCTCTGTCGGCAGCAACAAACTGAAGCACCGCTTCAATGGACCTTTTGCAGTCCTGGCCAGACATGGTGCGCCGTACACCATCGACCTTCCAAAGTCAATGACGACGCACCCGACGTTCTATGTCGGACGTCTTAAGCGGTACTTTGACCCGCAGGGGGTTGCTGACTCGCAGATCCCCCTTGACCCAGCTCCTCGAAGCGAGGGCCGGTCCCAGTCGTCGACGAGGGCGTCGGAGCAGGCACCCAAGTCTCGGTCGGGACGGCAAGGCTGCGGTCAAGACCGTACGCCGGAGGGGCTCCATACGAACGGACCCCGGCGCCATACGCCGAGTACGCTGAGTACGCCGGGTACGCACCATACGCGTACGTCTGGGAGTGTGCCGCAGGCGGCTTCGAACGTGGCAACAAAGCCGCGATCCGTCGGATCATGCGAAAGGCCTCGTCCAGATCGGACGAAGAGGCCCGGCGATCCACCCGCAGGTGCAGGCTCGCGACCTCTCGATCCACCAGGTCCAGGCGGCCCGCAAGACGAGCGATCTCGCCCTGATTCCCGGCCTGGGTGGCAGCATTACCGCCAGTCCCAAGGCCAAGTGCAATCTCAAGCACGAGGACACGTTGACGGAGGCGGTCAACCTCAGGGTCCTGTGTCGGACCCGCAGTCGGAGCACTCGGACGAGAGTGGCTCTCGGGAGGCGCCGAGTACTCGTACTCGTACGAGGGCACCTCCGCCCCTGCTTGACCGGAATGGAGAAGCCCACTTCCACGTGGAGCGGATCCTCCAGGAGCAACGGTGTCGCGGCAAGCGACAGCTCCTCGTGAAGTGGAGGGGTTATGCCCACTCCGAGAACTCGTGGGAGCCGATTGAACTGCTCCTGATTGACTGCCCGAAGGCTGTCGCAATCTGGGAACAGAAGCGGCGGCAGCTTCATAAGTAGTCCGGGGCTTCTTGCCCGAACGGGGTACGGTCGATGAATACATACCGTACCCGCGCTCATCGTGAGCGCTAAAAGCCGCGCTTCAGGATGTCCCTTGGCAGCATACGCTTGCTGATCAAGTGGGCAAACCTCACACGAAGATCACGCTGGTCCAGGATGTGGGACAGCTGCTGATCTTCATGGAGTTCCCATAACTTCGTGGGCGAGTACTTGAGAGTCTCCACCCACGCTCAGAACATGTCCTCACAAGAACTCCACGTGGGACAGTTCTCGGGCATAACCCAGGGGTATCCCCAAACAGGATAGAGACCACCCCGGGTCTCGGGCTTCTTACGACAAGTCGTGAAGTCCTTAAGGGGAATGCGGTGTTGCGCGAGAAGCACACACCGAGCAGCCTCCAAGTTGTCGACGAACAACTGTTCTTTCTGAACAAGGGCTCGTTCATAGATGCTCCTAGAAGTACAAGGCCACGAGGAGCGACGAGAAGCTCTAAGAAGAGGTCAACCCCAGAGCTCTCCTCGGGAAGCCAATACCCTCTTGAGTTGATGGCAGCTCCCTGGCTGACGGGTGCCGCCACCGAACCCCCACGCACACGCTGGGCAGCTTGGAATTCCTCCTGCTGCTGGTCGAGGTCATTCGAGACCTCCCGGGGCTCAACGATAGCACCCTCCTCCTCCTCCTCTTCCTCCTTCTCCTCCTCTTCATCCGAGGAGCCGAAGAGACTCTGATAGGAGCGTCGAGTCTCCTTCTCCTCGCGGAGTGGAGACTTAGAGGCGGTACGCTTCTTTGAGGGCTTGGCGCCTTCGGCTTTAGAGGCCTTAGCGCGCGCAAGACCCTCGGCAAGCGAGAGACGTTTGCGAGGATTCTCTTCCTCATCGCCACCGGCTTTGGGAGCGCCCTTAGCCTTAACGGCCGGACTCTCAGAGCGCACAGAGGTCCTGGGACTGTGATCACCGTGATCACTAGCGGGCGACTGCACGCTGCCTTCTTTGTGCTCACTGGGCACTGGGCTGTGCCCTCCCACAGAGCCCGCAGGAGCATCCTGAGTGCTCTCGGACTCGGCATCGTCTTCACTGCCCGAGTTGAGCTCGCGTTATACGAACCGAGGGTTCGGACGGTTGTCTGAAGACGAGGGCGACGGACTGCGGCGCCTGCTTGCGCGCTTGTCCGCAGCCGCGTCACCCGAGGAACCGATCGCCTCGGAGGCCACCTGAGTAGCCTCCTTGAGTGCAGAGCCTTTGCCGTGAGGCTTAGTGCTCTTGGCCTGCGCCTTACCGGCTGCAGCCTTGGAGCGTGTCTTAGCACCGCTCTTAGTAGTGCCACGAGGCATGTTAACGGTCGAAGTGGAGACCTAGACGAAGAGCGCACAGGTTGCTGCTCGAGGCTCTAACTGTGAAGTGAGCCTCCGCCGCGCTCGCGCGGCCAAGTCGATGGTTTTCGACTTTGAGAATGAGAGTTTGTGACGAACACCTCTTCATTCTGATTGGTCGGTAAACCGAACCTAAGTGGGGGAGGATGTAACGGGGTACGTAGCCCTAAGTGTACCCTGGTTACATGAAGTGTGACACTTCACACAGGAGTATGACACGTCATACTCCGAGATATTTGGTACAAGGTACCAAGGTCGTTCAAAGCCAACCATTGGTTAAATGACATTGCATTTCTATAGGTAACTAACAGTTTGTATTAAACCCAAACTTAATCTATCTATAAATATACTCAGTTTACAATCTACCTTATTTGGGTCACTTCGCTCTCTTTAATAAAAGAGGGGACCTGTGAACTGCCGTTCACTGAGAGTTTGTATACTCTCGGAAGATAACTTCCTCTTGCGCAAGGTGCTGTGTGACCCCGTCACACTCCATCTCACGCTAGCCCTGCCGCACCTTGGTGCCCACCTGCGACTTCTTGGTCGGGATAACCATGCTGCACAGGATGGCCCTGGCGACTAAAGACAGAGGAGTTACATTCAGCAGCGGAATGTCCTCCCTGGATAGCACTGTCGCCACTAATACCCAATCAAAATTGCCACAGACTGCTTAATACCTCGACACCTCTCATTGGTCATCGTAACACAACATTTGCGAAAATGAACACTTTAAAGTCAGCGTAATATTTCTAAATTGTAGCACCTCTCATTTGTTATTTTAGCATAAATTTATTTCACAGGGGACACAGCTACGGGAGCCGAATGGTGCGCTGCATCATGCTCTTCTCTTTGCGATCGCTATGACTGACATACCGTGAATACTCCTACAGCAGCAGACGCAGGTCTCGCTGGATGAGTGGCGCTACCAGCAGCGCTTAAAGGACGCAGCTCGCCACAGCTACAATTTGCAGCGGGACTTCCCCGTGGATCTGCTCAAGCCTCCGCTGGCCGCCCAAGCATACTACACGGGGCTATCAGTGCGTCAGGAGGTCTCCGATCCCGAGCAGCTCAGCTTTGACAAATACCGACGACGTCTAGAGGAATATAACCGCGAGGAATACGGTCCGTCGCCCAAGAAGAAGCAAAAGGTGACGTTCGAGAAGGTGGACCACGCACAGGAGCAGAGAACACGCAATCAGGCCATTTTCAGGAGGCTACAGAGCGAACTCAGAGGGCGCAGCGATCGTCGTCGTACTGGCGGTGCATGTAGTCTCGGTATGATGGCAAAACGCTCCGATATCCAGGAGCACGAGCATGTAGAGATCGCCAAGGAAGAGAATGGTGCGGAGACGGCAAGTGACAGCGAGTCAAAGGTGCGAAACTTGTGGAAATTGTGGTTTGTCATAAGCTTGAGCTGATAAATTGCTGTGGCAGGAGGACACTGAGTCTTCGGAGTCTTCCAAAGACGATGAGAAGAATGCGAAGCCAGTGCCGATTGCCACCAACGGCACGAAGAATGAAATTAGCATCACAGCTCAGGCTCGCGAAGAGGAAATTGCTGAGCTGGAAGGTGCCAGTTTTGAAAAAATACGTGTGTTTTGTAGATTTCACTGATGACAAAATCTGTGTGTTTTGAATGTGTTGTTTGTTGCCAGCGACACTACGCGCTCAGCATTTGTCACGCACGTCCGAAGCTGATCGACTGTTCTACAACCGCCTTGCGGAGCGGGAGGCAAATGTATGGAGAATATTATTGCGATGAATTGTTGCTGAGTTGTTGCTGACTATTGTGCGTGTTTAGACAATTTTGGAGGAAGTGCTGCTTGAAGATATATATGATATTGCCGAAGACGTGTTCGATGAGGAAGAAGAGAAGCTGCGCAACAAGGAGCTACCACCGGAACTTCTCGAGATTGTCGAGGATGCGCTGCACGAAGGCCCCATGGAGGAGGTGCTTATCCAGAAATACAACGTGGACATCACACGTCGTCATTTGCAGTGTATGCTACCGAGGACGTGGCTGAACGACGAGGTTCGTGTTGATCGGATGCATGCAACTCGGTGGCAACTAGTTGTGTCTAACCTGTGCATGTATTATCACAGGTGATTAACTTTTATTTCCAGATGATGAGCGACCGCGATGAAGCTCTTTTTAAGGCTGGTGTTCTACCCAAGCGCAGCCACTTCTTCAACTCTTTCTTCTATACAAAAGTGTCGGAGAATGGCTACAACTTCATAAATGTCCGTCGATGGACACGAAAGGTAGATTTGTCAAGAATTATTGTTGTCCTCCACTCATCCTGACATATTGTGTTTGTTTAGATTGATTTGTTTGCCATGGACAAGATTTTTATGCCTGTGAATATTGGCAACGTACGTGTGTTTCTTAGTTGCAATTACCAACACTCCTGCATCTGACAAACATTTCCTGTTGCCTTTGTGTGCAACAGATGCACTGGTGTATGGCTGTCATCTTCATGACAGAGAAGCGCATCCAGTACTACGACTCCATGCATGGGAGTGGCGCTGCATGTCTAAAAGTGCTGTTGAGGTAAGCTCTAATTGTCAATATTCCAGTGGCTGACATTGCAGTGTCCTCACTACGGTATCTCTCGCCAGGTATTTACACGACGAGTCCGAGCACAAGAAGAAGCAAAAATTTAACGACGAAGGCTGGGAGCTGGTAACCACCACGCCCGACACGCCTCAGCAGAACAACGGATCGGATTGCGGTGTCTTCTCTTGCATGTTTGCCGATTACCTGTCGCAAAACAAGGTGCGTTTGGCTGGTGATGACGTATTCACGTCGAGATTAATTTGGTGCCTGTTGCCTGTTGTCTGTTGCCTGTTGCAGCCGCTGTCGTTTGTGCAAAAGGACATTCCGTTCCACCGGCATCGCATGATTCTTCATGTTAGCCGAGGCTACATTCCACTCGAAGAGGATGGGTTATAGACGACGTCGTTTGATGATGTGCCAGCGACGTCAGAGCAGCACAAGGCAGTCAAGGTCTCAGAGTAACCGACACAACAAGACTTTCGTGTTTTTAATCACGAGTGGCAGTCGCTCTGTTGCATTTATTAACGCTGTTGTCGCTCGCGTGTCCTTCATATATACGTGCAGCAGAATGTCTGCGCGTTGCTGATTGTGCTATGCAGTTGCCGCTTACTTGATCGTGAAGCCTTCGCTGCGCAGGCAGGCCTTGTGGGCCTCAATGATGTCCTTGCACTTGTCCTGGCCGTTATTAACGATGCACAGGTCGCGTGCCTGCTTGGTAGTCGGACATGAACAGCAAATCTTCTTGCCGGACTTGCCGAGCACAGGGCCCTCGGTCACTTTCGCGGTGCACTCCTTCTCGGCCATTGTCTTGCTTGATCTAGTCGGCGTTTTCACTTCTGGTGGCGCACGTCTGTGTGGCCTCAGAAATTGCATTGTACCGTGGACCACAAAAGTGACATTACTGAGGAGATTTACGTAATCAGATAAACCTCTATACTTGCGTCAAAATGATACCGGCAACACTTTAGAAATACTTTATAAGCAGTTTCTGTATCAGCTGCCTCTACAAATAAATACCTATGTAGCCGGTATTTTCCGGGCGTGTTGGAAGAGAACGTATGGCCGCTTCCTGTCACTGACAGGCGAAGTGAGTGCAATTGTTGAAATGATCTCCAGTTGTTATTAATCATCAAGTTATCACACCAGCACAGGAGACAAACGAAATCTTTAGAAAAATATTCTTTCCTTCATCGGCAAAATACAATACAAAATTTACACAAGCAACCGCCACCGCCGAAAGACTCGGCAACAATGTCGTACTCCAGCTTAAATATCCTCCATTCTCTCGACAGTTTTATCTTATGTTAGACGTCCTGGATGCAGCGTGTGCACTGGCCCTCGACTCGTCGGGTTCCACAGCGAGTGCAGAACGTTCCTGGGACAGACACGCGATGCAACATCTCCCCGTGGGTATCGCGGATATGGGCAATGAGGTCGCCACGCGCACGGAATAAAACGTTACAGAACGTGCAATTCTCCCATATCTCGTCCTCTGAGACAGACAGACGCCCGTCGATAGATGCGCGGTCGGCAGGAGATCCAGAACCCGACGATGGCGGCGATGCCACTCGTGCCAAGGGAACGTCACTCACTCTATCCGCATCATCTATACCGATAAACAGCATGTCCGTGGCCGTCACGAACGGTGTGGGCCGTTGGAATCTGGCCACCATAGACCCTCGATCATCTCGCTGGGAGCGCAACAAAGCTCTGAAGCGGATGGGAAATAATAGAGGGGCCTGGTTTTTCCTCTTCTCTAATGTTAAGAACCCAATAGCCTTGTTGACCTCGCGACCGCCTCCAAGCGGGAAGGCCTGTGTGAATCCGACGGCGCGGTCCGGCCAGAAGCAACTGGTTAATGTGAACTTGGAGCTTGGAGTGAGTGGCTTGCGGTCGGAAATCTGGATCACAAACACCGTCTGTTCGTCGCGTGAGCGAGACCATTTGAGGTATTTGGAGACGTGTGTGGCTCGCAGATATTTGCCAGAGCTGATAGACACGAGCTGCACGCGCATATCGTCCAGGATGTGGCGCTCCCGCACCTCGTCCACGGGCATAATATGCACGAATTCGTTGTCGGAGGATTGGCCCGCGCACTGAGCATTGTAGAAACACGGGGCTACACTCTCCTTATCCTTGCACGTCACGTAGGCGTCGTAACCTTGCCAGAAGAACTGCAGCGCGACTTGATCGCGAGACGTCGTCCACGGTCCGTTTGTCTCTACCGTCGGGCGGCTGCTGACAGGCGTTTCCTCGGATTGCCGCTGCGGCTGCGGCTCCTCGTCCAGACTGTCGAGCGGGTAGAACTCAGTCAACTCGTCGTCCTCATCCATCGAGAGCGAAACGACACTGGCCTCTTCCTGCATGGCTTGCTTGCAAAATGATAACTGTGCAGCTCTTCCGATAATGAACTCTACTGTTGATGGCCGCCGATTTGCGTTCCAGTGGAACTTCCACCGCGCACGGATTGGTCTATATGATTTAGAGAGCAATTATTATTGGCTAATAATGTGATGTAGAAAGGTCCAGGAACAGCTCCCTATTCCACCCGAAGTGTTACGGGACAGGCTACTTGGTGACTGTTTTGACCTTATTTTCTTTTTCTCCAGCAACATCAGTGGTGATGTTACACTGCCACTTCGTTCCGACGGGGCCAGCGTGCAATTTACGAGCTCAAATAGAGCTACTAGACCCTCTGAATCTTCGCACAGTCACACGCAGTGAAATCACCGACATGGTGAGTTGTGGTCGTGCACTGATGTTAATGCAACTCCGCGTAATCAAATCCGTGGACTCCATTTGACCATGTTTGACTCAAGATGGAGGCGGTATCCTCAGGATAAGTATCTGACTGTCAATCGTCGCAGTTCTGTTGCAACGCCTTATTCACCGTTGGACCTGATTGAGACGAATAGAGGCGTTCGCTGCCACTGGCAGTATGCCACAAAAACAGCTTGTCTCCAATGCCGCAATTTGAGGCCTGCAAATGCTACATGTAACTATTTTGTTTGCCAGAATTGGCACCTGCAGATCGCCTCGACCACAGAACAGTTGGGCGACTTGCTAGTGTCCCATGGTGAGACTCCCATCGCAGCAGCCAACAACCATTCATGTCCGGCCACCAAGATGCCTGTCCTAAATCTGACCAAATACTGTACTTCATTCATTTACATTTTAAATGTTTTTTAGTCCAATCATCACGTTCCATTTCTGTTGCCACCCCAATAATGAGCCTGTCCAGGGCGCTGTACCGGGAGCTGGTGGCCGCCGCGAAGCTCTTGAACAGCCACGCGTCTCTGCGAGCGCTAATATCGACAGATCTACGCGAGTCTGTATTCGCTCCAGGCTCAAAGACGCGTCTACCACACGTAGAGGCCTTTAACCGCTCGCTATTGCGCTTTCTCGGTGGTCGGCACTTGTACCTCCCAGACTCTCGTCGCCCCACATTACTACAACTCGTGCGAGAAGAGTTTCGCAAGCCTACGGATGGCGTAGATGGCATCGACACTGCATTCGTGGCTCTACGGGCGCTCAACGACACGTTGGCAGAGGCTAAAGCCCTCAAATTACCTCCCAAAAACTCTCTCGAGACACGGACACTCGACGACGTGCAATTGGCAGAGTACGACGACTTTAGTATGCTTCAAACACGAAGGAAACCCACTCAACATGCTGACACTCTCCGTATTACTACAGGAATGCGGCGTCAGGCGTGTTTCTCCTCGCTCATCCGCTTCTACAGGGGATTTTCAGTCGCTCGGTGGTCATTCTCACAGAGCATAAACCAGAAGGATCCAAGGGGTTTATCGTCAATAAAGTGTCAGAAAAGCCTCTCGGACGTGCGTTCCAAGTGCCTTCAAGAGTGACAAGAGCCTTCGCAACAAGCACAGTACGAAAGGGAGGGCCAGTGTTCACGAGGAACGCAGAGGTAAATATTACTATTATCATGTTAGAAAAAAAATAGTATAATATCTGACCATAAGTGATGAGCAGGTTCTACATGGTAGAGCGGACTTTGGAGGTCAGCGTGTAGCCACATCGAATTTCCCGACTGCAAATGACCCGAGTCTCTTTGTGGGCGTGGATCTGGATACTGCTGCGAGGGCCATCTACGACGAGACTGCTAAGCAGACAGACGTCGTGTTTATGAGCGGTGTGTCTGCTTGGTCGCCTGGCCAATTGGATTCGGAGCTCAAACAAGGCTCGTGGGTAGCTGTCAAGGCCCCCGTGTCTCTCGCACTTAACGCGTCTGCTGACTTATGGCAGGATCTGATGCGAACTCTTGGAGGCGAATACGCAGAAATGAGTTGCATGCCACTTTTGAAAGACGAAGAGGAAGTGAACTGATTTTTGGAACTTCACCAAATCTAGAACGAATCAGTTTCTATTTTAAAAACAAACTCTTAAATGAGTTTCTTCCGTACTACGAACAGATAGAAACGAGTGACGAATGTGTGCTGAGACCTCGTGGGACTCATCTCCAGACATTGCAGGATGTCCCATTCCATACATTCTTCAGTATCGGAAGTCCAGTCAAACATATTGACGCGGTTACTAGGACTACCGAACGTCAGGAAGAAGAGCAAACCGTCGGGTCTTAAGACCCGTGCCAGTTGTTGCATACTGTTCTTGACATCACTGAGGTCATCTGGAGACTCTGGAGCCACCAGCTTCCAGTTCGTGTCAACAGCGTCCGTCTCAGGCTGCAGTAGCATCGCATCCAGACAGCCTTTGTCGACCACACAGTCCACCGAGTTGGACTCCCAGCCTTTCATCTGAGTAAGGTCTGCTTCTAGAAAGCGGACACCCCAGTTGTTCTCCTTACTGCGAGTTTGCATCTTCTCAATCACATTCGCGGCGTAGTCCACAGCGACGATATCTGTGTAGCCATCTAGTGCCATTTCTAAAGGCAACCGACTGGTACCGGTACCCGCGATCAATACTCGCTGAGTTTTGAGGATATAGGAATTGAGTAACTTGCGAATATGTGAGTATTCACAATACCAATCAAACTCGTCTTCCGTCTCGAATCTCGCTTCCCAGTAGCTCTTTTTACATAGCCCCATCAATGAGATTTTACCCGCCAATGGACGCACCAGTTCCACTCCGGAAGGAACATCTCTTGTCGTCCATGCAACAGAGAAAAGTTTCTGTTGCTCCATACAGAAGATCGGCATCACTTGGAGATTTCTCTCGTCGTCATTTTCACGAAGACTACAACAGTATTAGTAAAGCAGTTAAGTTGCAGCAAACTCGTCGCTGTCTTACCTTGAGCCCAGAGTATTCAGCACGTAGTACGCCATTTCGTCCGATTTGGCTCCAAAGCGAATGGAGAATGCCAGTAAATGCAGTTGCCTTACGATGCGCTCCACTTCTTGCTCTTTTTCGCTCTCCTCTTCAGACTCTATCGCTTCTTTATCCTCCAAAATCGCATCCTCAGCCAGTTGTATCATCTTGCTGCGTAGCGCTTCATTTGCGTCTGAGCGTCTGGAATTGAAGTGAAATTCCACTCGTGAGCCACTCGCAGCACTTTTTCTGCAGCTGGGAGCGGCATCGAAGCCTCTACGCGCAGTTTGCGACGATTGGTAGTCTCCGACGCTGCTTTGGTCGTCGCCACAGCGTCCAGATCGCTCCAATCGCCCTCATTTTCATGGATGCAATCGTATATCTGCTTGTGGAGATGATGTGGCGCATTATAGTGTGTCAGCTGCGGCAGGTGCAGCGCTAGCCACGCCTCAGCGTGCATGGCGGATGATGATTTAGGAATGCCATCATTGGCGTCCGTCGACAGCACTCCGTCGTTTCAATTGGATAAAATCATTTCGTATGAGCATATCTTATTGGCAATAAAGATTTGTGATTCGGATTGGTTAATAAGATCCTTTAATCGAATTAAAGTTGAAGCGGCACTGTATCAATGGAGACCAAGATCGGAAAGAATAGTAATGTCGGCGTAGGTGGCGTTGTCAGGCTCCAAGCTCTTTTCCGAGGCAACAAGAGTCGGCGAGTGCATGTAGAGCGAGCTCGGAACAATTTGCGTGCGATTTCGTCCAGTTATCACTATTGCGGACAGTTAAAGAAATACGCTTTTTGACACTTGTTGTTGATTTCTAATGCTCTCAGCTTGGTCCCCGTTCGTGCCAGCAAAGCTGGAGGCTGTGAATGCAATATTGCGTGTAGCTTCTCTGCAACCTGGTGAGACGTTGGTGGATATTGGTAGCGGTGACGGCCGCGTGGTCATCGAGGCAGCAGTGCAGTGTCCCGAGCTCAAGAAAGCTCTTGGTGTAGAGCTGGACGAAGCTCTCGTGAAGCTCTCAAGACGTCGAAATCTAGAACGAGCAGCGAAAGAAGAGAACGAGAAAAATGAGCGTCCAGAACAAGAAATAAGTAGGGAAAAGACGTTCGATCCAGCGACATCGTTAAGAGAGAAAGTGGAGATCGTTCATGCCGACTTCATGGAGATTGATATGAGGAACGCAGATGTCGTGGTACTTTTCTTTTTACCCCATAAGGATATTTCAAGAATGTTACAACTCAAGTTGCGTCCAGGGACACGTGTGGTCACATACGTGTTCCAGATCGCTCAATGGAAGCCGGAAAAGGTGGTACCAACAGTACCGTTCATGACAGCTAAAGGGTCATCATCCATCTTCCTCTATCGAGTGCCTAACACTCCAGATCTTCAGCTTTAAATATCTCAATCTGATGAGCAGTTCGATAAGAATAGACAATGGTTTCAAGACTGGTTAGTAGCAACTATTTAAGGTAGAAGTGATCAGTGTTTCTCGTCCTCATTGCTCAGGTCATTTCAACCTTTACAGACCAGCAGAATGGACGTCGGGTATGGAATCTGCGGCCACAAGAACTCGTTCTCTACTGGAGTGAAGCTTGGCAACTATGTGGAGGACCGGATCGGTGCCGAGTTGGCTCGGAACAGCTCGTCCAAGGTGGTAAATAAACACTCGGAGTACTCTGCGAGTTTTATTCAACCACGAGAGATGCCGGACAAATGTGCCCTAGCGCCAGCAGAGAATCTAGTGGAACGGAACATGATCCGTCAGGGCCTTTCGTATGACCTCATCTTTGAGCACGGGAGACCTCACATTCCTACTGCTGCGGAACAAGCTTCCAAGTTCACTTTGACCTCTCACGACTACGGTACAATTTACAAGAAGAACGGTACTTCGAGCAATGAATCCGACAGACGTAGACAGCAAGAGATGAAGAGATCGAGAGAGGCGCGTGAACAGCGTAACGTCTACTTATCCACCTCTCAAGCCATCGTCCCAGTACACGGAGGTACCAGACGCTAGTGCATTTATCGCAAAGTTAAAAAAAAAATACAATTACTACTCAAGACTGGTTTATTTCTTCGTTAATGAGAGTAATGAGGTCTGGAGGAAGGTCGCAGTCCCTCATGAGTGTTTTAAACGCAGCTTTCGGTGTTTTGTTCGGATCGATATTTGTGTTTTGGTGACTCCAGTCTGGAGTGGTACAAGCTGACTGCTTTGATAATTGGTCAGTAAGTTCACGCCATTGAGAGGAGAAACACGTTAGCGTCTTGGACTCCATGAGATAAAGACACATGGCTACAGCCAACGCCAGTCCTTCAGCTGAATCATCACATAAAATATCAAAAACTAGGGTAGAGAACAAACGTTGTGATACTAACGTACATGTTGAAGTGCCTCGACACAAATCTTCGATCAGCACGAGCGAATTCGACGTCATGGAAGCGAAAATGTGGCTCATTTCGCGCATTTCAGTCATGAAAGTTGAGTATCCGTACAGCTGCTGATCATGCGCTCCAGTACGTAGGAACATCGCATCAAAGACGGGTATCACCGCCTCTTTACAAGGAACAAAGCAGCCGAGTTGGTTCAGCATAGCCACAAGCCCCACAAGCTGCAAAAGACTGCAATCGCCCTTCTTCTGATCGCCTTCTAGCAGCAGAAACGTCTTCTCTGATAACTCGATAGTCACGTCACTGTTAACTTCATCCGACTCGCTAGATAAATTCTGCGTAAAAGGGTTAAAAAGACCACGTAATGAAAGAATTGAAATGTTTTCTGCTGCAATGGAAGCACGGACAAACTTGCGTTTGTGTGAGACCAGTGCGAAGCTCACGAGGACGTCCCAGCTCCGCCACACGACGCTCCAATTCGTGCAGAAAACACTGAAAACGTGATCGAAATTCCGTCGTCAAGAAATCTACCAGATCCGCTTCGGCATCTTCGTAATTGCGCTTCAGAGCTTTCCATTTGGCTCCTAGAGAGTCGATCATGGGAGTAGAAAACCAAACTCCAGACGCTCTTGAGGCTCGGATGACGCTGAGATGCTCCCCACTATGTTGTTGTATACGGTGACTATCTTGACGAGAGACACGGAGAACAATTCCCAACTTAGCCATGGAACTCTGGTCGTCGTCAGCGTAGATGACTTTGATCCGGTCTTCGGCGATGGAGAGCAACGTCGCAGTCTACATCGAAATTCAGAGGTTTTAGACACGGTAGCAGCTAGCGTAGGCTACCTATGTACCCACCTGCTTGACAGCTACTGTAACGTTTACTTCACATTGGCTAATTTGACGACGTATTTCTTGCAGATGTGACGTCGACGCTCTCATCTCATTCTCACTGTCTATCTCCATAGCGTCTTGCATGTCTTGGATCGATGTACAGAAGGGCTCAAGATCTTGAGAACACAGCAACTGAATTGGACGAAGTCGTGTCGAGTACAAAATTTCGAGTTGAACTGGAAATTCCCCATCTTCGACACATTTTCTTGCAAGCACTTGAAATTCTCGGAGCCATTTCTGAAGACCAGTAAAATCCTGTTTCCATGTCAGTTGTGAGTGGTACTGGAACAAATTAACAAAGCCACAACTTACCGATAAAGACAGCTTTGTATCCATTGAGTTGGGGGTTGAACAAGTGAAGATGGACAGCTCGCGTTCGTAACTCTGAAAATGCTGGAAGATACTCGAAAGGTCCCACAGAACGGCGCTCAGCAGAGATCACTGCATCCACTGTAGCATGTCGTCTATTAAGCTCCACCGGGTCGATGCAAGGCTGTTCCAACCACTAAACGTTCAAAAACCACACAAAAAACATAAGAATGGGTAAAGGTTATTTTATTAAAGTTCTCACACCTGTTTGAGACATTGACGGCCTCGTTTGGTGCTGCACGAAGGACTCAAAAGGCTGAAAAGAGATGAAAGTCGGTTATTTGAGCCTGTAGAGAGCACAAACGCTCCCTTCGCCGAAGCATTCAGCCTAAAAAACATATAAATGTCAAGCACAGTCACGTTCAAAAAGCACAGTAACGTTATACCTACTGCATTTTTCTTATTTGCTTAAAAAAAGCAAATCCTGATGTCATTATTCTGAAATAATGGCAGAAACAATCAAAAGGAGACAATAACGTCTGTCAAGTTTTCTAGATGAGATTCTGCAGCTCCACCTCGTGTCTCGCCAATTCGCGTAGCATGGGTTCATCAAAGTACTTGCTGACGTTCACGTCCTCACTCAGTCCCTTGCGACGTCGCGTCTTGACCATAAACTCTCGAGCCAAATCGTTCACTGGCGCTGGTTCAAGTGGACGCAGCACGACGTTCGAGTCCAATGGGTCCCCAGGCACCACTGCCCAATGATCAAACACTTGAGTGAGGAATGCTTGGCCCTGAGTGAACACACGCAGGTCGGTCTCGAGTCCGAAAGACTCGATCACAGGCACGAAGCCTCGCACGGTATACAACGGAGAGCCCGCTTTCGGTGCGTCATGAGTGATGTGTCCACGTCTACGACTCAGCACCTGATAAAGTGACGACACGGTGTCAGCAGGACACTGGATTTCCAGTGCATACATGGGCTCCAACATCCTCGGCGTGGCTGTCAAGAATGCCGAGTACGCTACACGTCGTGACGTCGGGATCACTTGACCTCCACCGCGATGTATCGGCTCGGACGCAATGGTAGCGTCCAGGATCTTAAACTTGGTGTTGCGGATGGGTTCGTCACACAACGGACCTTCCCGACAACTCCACTGGAATCCCTGGACGATACTGTCTTTGATCATAGTCAACGAAGACTTGTTGACTTCAGTAGCCAGAGTATCGTCCAATAAGACATTCGGACCATTACTTTCCGGTCCGAACGCCCATACAGAGCGAGCAGCCAGTGCGTCCCACTTGTAGTTGGTCTGAAAGAAGCTAGCGACTTGTTTCGTGTTCATATCGAGGTTGATAGCACGCGTCTCAATGTCCAGCGCGAGACCAGCGTCCAACGGCTCCGAGATCATCGTGATCTTGTTCTTCTGGTTGGGTGTCTCGGCAAAGCATTGGACCGAAGACGTCTCAGCTACAGTCTCACAGAAGGCCACCACAGGGTCCGCTACCTTGATCTCAATCTCGGCATACATGCGTCTCAAGTCATGTAGAATACAATCCGCTGCTAGCTCTCCAGTACACAAGATCACGTGTTCTCCACTCTCCTCCACTTTGGTACGTACGAGAGGATAACTCTTGCTGATTTTCCGTAAGCCTTCGAGCATTTTGGGCAGTTCTGCCGGATTCAAAGGCTCCACAGCGAGTTTCATCACTGCGGTAGTGGCGAACGCAATGTGAATAGGGCGGAAGATGCCAACTTCCTCGTCTTGAAGCAAATCTTCGTCTGCATCCGTGACAGTGGCGCTCTTGGTGATTGAAGCGTCCACTCCTTCAAGTAAGACCCAGTTACCTGCCGGGATCCGGTTCACTTGGATCTTGTAGCGTCCTTGAGCAATACACACACCTTCGATCGTGCGTGTACACATGTCTTCGTCGTCTTCAGCGCTGTAAGCTTCTCCCAAGACTTTAACGTCTTTGGCTTCACGAACTTCACCGGAAAAAACACGACCGAAGGCGCTGAACGTCGTGCCGTCAGGAGACGAGTACAGCTTGACGATGTTAACCATCAAAGGCGCTTGAGAGTCGCACGACTGGATTCCTCGCACGATGCTCAGCTCCGAGTTCTGGCTGCCCGTGTAAATCGTCTCCAGTTTGCTCTTTGCAGTCTCAAGAGGTGACGGAATGTGTGTCACCACCATGTCCATGAAACCCGTCGTCACATTGCCGAAGAACTTGCCCAGCACCAGCTTGAGCAGCGGACGTGGGTTCAAGTTCAATTCCTCTTTCTTCAGCCGCAAGCCCATGGCACGTAGCGACGCAGAGAGCTCCTTCGGGTCTCCGTTTAGCACCTTGGTGTACATTTTGTACAGCGGCTCCAACACGAACTGGACGAACGACCGCAGCGCACCTGGATATGGCTACATGAAATTGTTTAAAACATTATAAAAAGCAATAAAATCACATAAAAATTGTACCGATTTTTTTGTGAACGAGCGAGTCTGCGGGTTGAAGTATTTATCGCCCCAGAATCGCTTGGCCAGTTCCGACGGAGGCACTCCTGGGTACGTCTCTGAGTAGATTTGAGCAAAAGACTCGAGTGTAAAGCTCCATCCATGTTGACCCGAGGCAAAGCACACATTGCCCAGCTCAGGTGATAAACGCTGTTTCTCCTGGTTCGCAGGCGTATTGGCGTCAATAACAGCGTTGACCTCTTCGATCGTATGCAGCAGCTTGAAGTATGCGTCAGCAGGTGGCAGTTTGAGCTCAATGATGAGTCTGTCCACTTTGTTGAGCACCAAGACAATGGCTACATTGGCTCTCAGCGCCGCCTTCACCAATCTCTCGGTCTATAAAATAAAAATGCAATAAAAATCAGTATCAATTATAAAAAAACAAAATAAAAAACACCCCGTTTTACATTGATCATGACGCCCTCAATAGCGTCCACGACGACCGCAGCGCCGTCCGCCACTTGGAGAGCTGCTGTGGTCTCGTCCGAGAAGTTCACGTGGCCAGGACAGTCCAACACATTGAGCAAGTAATGCTTCCCTCTGGATGTGGGCAGCACGAGCGACACGGGTGTACTCTTGATGGACACTTTACGCTCCTGTTCGTCCTTCCTGGTGTCTGTGAATCTTTTCTCCACTGCGGGATCCCACTTGTCCACGTGGGTCTGTTGCACTAGCAAGTCTGTAAACAACGTCTTGCCATGGTGAAGATCACCGATGACCGCGACGTGGCGGATGAGCTGCGGATGGTCCATTAAACTGGTCAGGAATTGCGTCGAATAGGTCGTTCGAGGCGTTTTCTGCTCCAAAACGGAGAAAGTTTTCGTCTTCACGGGCTCGATGATGGGCTTTTCGATAGGCTGCGCGTCCTCTTCCATAACGAGCGTCTCGGCGTCACCGTAGACATCGCTCGCGTCGGGATAGTACTGTTTATCCTCGTGGAGGACGATGGCGTTGTCCTCGTCATTGTGAAGCGCCAAAGCGTCCACTTGACGTCCTGCGTCGTCCACCTCTGGTTCACTCTCGTGGTCACTAGCTGCGTCGCTTTCTGAGCCGGATGAGGACTCGTCCTCGCTGCTATGAAGCTCCGGACCGATGTAGTTTCCGAACTCGTCGTATAGAGATTCCTCCATTTGGGATTATGGGGTGAATGGATTAGAGGATACAGGTTTTCATTGGTTCAAAAAAGGAACCATTTGTAGATATCATTGGTTGAAAATCAAAACGTCGTTGTAGACGCAAGCGGACGTATTTAGAGGACATTTCTCTATGAAATTAAAACTCTAGCCAACACTCAGCTTCTGCAAGTTGTGCGGTTGCGTTGGGGACGTAGCCTTTGGGTGTTTTCTTCTTGCTGAACGTTGGAGTAGTACTGGATGTCTGGATGGAGCCATAATTCACCACTGGTAGTCTGGCTAAAGCTTGAGAACTTCTGGGACGAGGCAGAGGAATCTTCTTCTGGAGCTTCCAGACATGAACAGAGCCGTCGACAGCTCCAGACACGATAATTGAGCCAGAGATACCGACAGCAAGAGAGCTGATACTCGCGCCGTGAGCTTGAGGAATCTCATAGACGAGCTCGGTACCTGCTTGTTCTTGCAGCTTCCAGAAGAGGATCTTGCCCGCTGTGGTGCCTCCCACCGCATACTTGCCGTCACTATCGAAGCATCGCACTTGACCTGCTGTACGGATGTCCATACTCCAGAGTCTCTCACCTTTAATACTGAAGTGCAGAAGCTCGCTCTGCACTGTCGCACAGACGTACGAGTTGTTGTCTTGAGCGAACGCAATGGACGAGATGCCGCCGCCATGCAAAGAGGCTTGCGTTTTGCTATAGAGTACTGCTTTACTTAAGTTGAATAGATATACCACTCCCTTCCGAGTTCCGGCAGCACAACAGCGACCGTCGCGACTGACATCTAAGCACAGTACGGACTCTTCACAGTCAAGGAACGTTCGGATAGGTGTAGCGACGATGAATCGTGACGTGTAGCGCCAGAATTTAATACTCGAATCCCACGAACTCGTGACGAATCGGTCTTGAAGGACACGGATAGCTGAGATCCCATCCGAGTGCGCGAATACTTTGTCTAATACTTGTCCAGTGGAGGTCGAGTACATGTACACACTGTTGTCCCATGACCCAACGAGAACGACGCTCTCGTCTGGAGAAATATCACAACATGACAAGGCGAATTTCCCAGAAACATCACGATAGTGAGCCACGTCTTGAGTCGATGACAGCTTGAGCGTTTTGTCTTTACTTGTCGTCAATAGAAACGAATTGTCTTTCGAGAGAATTGTACTGGTGACTTCCCCTTTGTGCAGCTGACACTTGGACATCTGCTTCCAGCTGTACGAACTTGATAAACTGTACTTGGTTCTCAGTCTGGACGTCCATCTCCAATTCTTAAGTGGTTTCCCAGAACTTATACTACCCCACAAATGCGTCGACAGTCCTGCAATTGCCTTCGGAAGACGATTCCACGAGCTCTGACAGCATATTAGACTGTACTGATGTCGACTTTTCCGGCGATAACTCGGTGTATCCTCCTCAACTTCATCTTCTGACTCGGTGTAGTCCTCGAATGCACTGAAAGTGAATTCTTTCCGATGATGAGGACGGAAATCCGACGCATTAGTAAGAGGAATCGAGACTCTGCGGATACGAGGAACCACAACGCGAGGTGATAAGAGTAAGTCCGGAGATGCCACTTCAATCTTCCCTTCGCCCTCATTGCGTGACGGATGGGGCGTAGAGAATAAAAGCTTCGGCGTCTGGCCAAACTCTTGGATCTGTGCTTCCAGCGACGATTTCTCCACCGGATCATCGATAGTTTCTAAATCGACTGATCCCTCGTAAGATAAATAGTAAAATACTAGAAAAAAATACACAAGATGTTACAAGAATTAGAACTAAATCATCGCAAAAAAAAAGACTTACAAAACACGTACAGTTATTGGCCTTCACAGCTTCTTCGCCTTGTTGCTTGTAGCCGAAGATCAAGTCAATCCAGTGATGTAAGTTCTCGGACACGTAGTCATTCTCAAGTGCAGCGCGATTCTTCCGAACGAACTCGATTGCATTTCCATGAGCCCAAGGCGGGAGCTCCACGTCATCAACACGGTCAAAACTCTGCGTCGTTCCCAAGTCGAGATGCTTCTGATTCCTCAGCCATTCGTCGGCTGGAAGTGCGCAATCAAAGAACTCGGGAATAAGTTCCTTAACATCGGTATGATTGGACACACAGCCGTCCCAAGTCCTCTTGATACTTCGGAACAGTCGATCCGGAGCATCAAATTTCCCACTTTGCAGACACAACATACATTCCGGAGCTTTCCGAACCAGGAAATACAGCACGTAACCGGGAGTCGAGTAATGCGTGCCATACAGAAACGGCGGTGGCATTCCTTCCGCTTCATCACCACGAGGCATCACGTCGAATCTTGCTTTAAAATACTCAAGACGTTCTTCATTAAGCGCCCCGATAGGCTTTGAGAGATCTCGATACACTTTCGGATCGTTCAGATCGAGTTCCGAGCCCGTATAATCACAGAGAATCCACGGGAAAATCGGATACTGCGTCAGATCATTGCGAGTCCGACCCGAGGCATTGTTCAGGAATCTCAAATACTCAAAATTTGAGAGCTCACGACGTTGCCACTTGCGCATCATATTCTGCAGATCTTTCCGACGACAGCGCTGTAGCTCTGGCTGACCCACCATGAGAGCGTAGAAGTCGTCACGTTCGGGTCGAGAGCGAAACGAGAAGAAGAAGCTGTCGCCGTTTCGTAAGTAAATTTCCAGTCCGATCTGTCGCAGCAGATAGCGCCGCTTGTATACCTGATCAATGTTGGTATACTCCCAGTTCAGTACCGGGTCCAGCACGTTATTAAGCAAAGATGGCTGGAAATACAGCCGCAACGTTGTCAGCATAAGACAACCAGGGAACTTGAGTAGCGGCTCGATGCGACTAGCCACACACCCCGTTTCCATGAGTAATCGTTCTCGGAAGTCGATTAACAAGCTCGGATCGAACTTGTCCGTCATCCTTGGAGCTAGGACGGGAGCTAACAAGGTTTCTTCTTCTGTCTTGGTTATCATTCGACGTGGCAAGTTGGACACTTCGAAGATGACGTGGATACTCGCAAGAAAAGCCTCGTACGTCACATGTTGCAGAGTGAAAATGTACTTGGCCGGCACTTCCCCGTTCAAGCTGCTGCTGCTGTTGCTTCGGATATCGCTATTAGTGTTAGTGATTTCCATTCCGTCTGTTGTGTCTTTGTAGATGTATGGGTGATCGATACCTCGTTCTCGCATTTCAATCACTTGTTTCATCTGGAACGTCAAATTTAATAATGCGGTCTCTTCGGTTCCAGTACCAGGCACTTCTGGGATTGATGAAGGTTGCAGGAAACACTCCGTCACAGGTTCGAACACCATACTGCGAAAAGGGAAGCGAAGAATTGGAAGTAGGAGATCATGCGGCACGAAGAACAATCCACGCGTGCAGACTTTGATTCTGCCGAATACTCTGCGGTGCGTGAAAGCATTAGGCTCCAAAAATCGACACGCACTGTGATCCTGTTGGCAAGAATGTTGTCTTAATAATGGCATCTCAAATTTAATACAAAGAAAACAGAATAATACTAGTGAAGCCACGCACATCGAGGAAGAACTCGCCGTCCTCGAGCAGCAGTAGGCTAAAGCGGTTCGTCTGGGCGTTCTTAGTGCTGTGACGCCGCCTGTGCATGACGACAGTCTCCTTTTGTATGGCTTGAAGAGCTTGAGATCGAGCAGGAGGACGACGGGTCTAACTGCACTTCAGAAGGAATGTTTAAATTGATATTTAATGGATTGGCGGTCGTTCAGCGTTTCGTTGGTGGTGGAAGCCACTTTCGAAGAAATGATGAAGACAAGCTGGACATGATATCGAGCTGCCAGTGACTTGACTAGATGAATTACTACTTATATAATTGTTTCACTTTTTATTTGTTTTGCCCCCAACGACTACGTGTAGGTCACAGTAGCTAGCACTAATTTATGTTTTTCGGATCATGATACCTGGCGTAAGGTCGACAGCCACTGCATTATCGGCAGACGGCAGTGTAGCTATTTCTCCTGTCAAACTCGATGGGTTCACATTTGGCCATCTCGCCATGCATTTCCTCCTCGGGCTCAGCTTCAGGTACTGAAGGCAGCATACAAGGCGTCGTCGGAGCCGAGCTCGCGCGAGACCGGATTGAAGTTGTGTTAGTGTGGCATTCTCCCTCCCCCACATACATGAGTCGAGTGAGAGAGTGCACCCAATTGCGCTTAGAACTTCTGGTGTCTGCCGTGAAGATGACACGCTCGCCATTGGCTTTAATGACGTAAAACATGAGTCCAATCTGCGACGGCAACGAGGCGCCAAACAGCGCGAACTTCTTCTGCATGGATAAAGTCTGACAGTCCTGAACTCGAAGCACAGTAAGCTGCGTCTTCATGCCTGTATTCTTCGCTGCGTGTGTGGCTGAGCTGAACATTTCGAGTCGGTGGCCACGCAAGAGGCAGTAGTACCGTCTGCTCTGGAAAAATGGCGCGTTCACAGGCAAGCTGAGGAAACCTTGCTCCAAGACGGTGTCCTCAGGCTGACCGGCGAAGCGAGACTCGCGGTGTACGAGCTGTTTGGCAAGGACCTCCATCTCGCCGAGTTCCTCAGCCGAGTAGTGGTAATTGGCCTTCTCTTCGGCAGTGTATACTGGGCGCTCGAGCTCCTCGGCGTCTTTTTCCACGAATCGGACGCGACGGAGTTTGCCGCTGTTGTCCTTGAGACCAATGGCCTCAATGTATGAGCTCCACTTTACTGCGAGTGCTGATTGAGACTTCTTAAGACTGGGGGCTAAAGGAGAGACAGGAGCAGCGCGACGAGTAACAGAGAGACTGAAGGGCGCGTGGTTCCTCTCGCTCTGTTGCTTTTGGTCCTCGGGACACTGATCCTCGTCGTCGTGACTGAGATCGAGCCATCTCTTGAGGTTCGGACGACGCGACTCACGGCGCTGGTTATCGCATTCAAGGCGTCGAGCTTCGCGGATAAGGCGCATCGTGTTACGTCAGAGAATGGAGTGAAATGGGTTTCTCTTCTGTGGTGGAAGATGACTGCGATCGGCGACTACGATGCCCAAGTGGGTTGTGGAGAGATGGGGATGCTGGGAGGTCTATCCTGGTGTTGTGTGCTCGCGGCTTTCGACGCTTGCGGCGCTGGCGTGTGGTGCGTGGTTCCGACGAAACGATGAATGAACTTCGGCTGCTGTTGAAGAAACTCGGAAGACGGAGCAGCCTCGATACAAAGATCAAGTGAAGGTTCGTGTCTTTTTTGTGGGACTCAGAGTCTCGGCTATCTCTTCTGAATATAAATGGATACCTTTCAAAACGGCTGAAAGCATTTTGAATTAATAATAATGCTGTGCCGATGATACTACATAACCCTGAAAACCCATTATGGATGCTGCTTAAAAGTTTTCAGGCGACGTCGACCATTGCTGTCTGAAAAAAAGATAGCCACTTTTCGTAGGTCTGCAAGCGAACAACAATAAAGCAAGGAGCTGACTGTACCGAACACGGTTTCATCCGCCGTTCCTCATGACAAATGGGATGTTTTAGTGCTCTCTTTACAAGCGTTTCTAATTACTTTTTAGCTAATAGTTGCAGCAAATGGATTAAAAAAAATTCAAGTAAGACAACAAGCAAGTTGGATCATGTTGTTTTAAATTGATATGGTACGTTCGCCATCAAGCAAAATCTATGTTCAGTAGAACGTAAGCATTGTTACACAACCTGCTCTTCTGGAAGTTCCAGCACCGCATACCGTGTAAGTGTCACACATGGTGGGGCGCCGATGATCATGTCGCGAGAATCAGATTCTCTTTAGTGAAAGCAAGTCAAAATACGACCTTCAATAAAATGTCAAAGCTCATCCATGCAGCCCACCACTTCAATTCTGAAGTGGACATTATCTTTCGATGCCAGTGAAATAATTTCACTGTGAATCCAGAAGATTCACAAATGGGTAAATTGCTCGCTGTGAAAGCCGGTTTGTAGCGTCCTTATTAGGGTATTGCTATTAAAAGATCGTCCACGACCCATTTCCATTAACTGTTATTAACACCTCAAAAATCAAGAATAGAACCAACAATTAGCGAGCAGAAATAAAAGTTGCATGATTTTTCACCGTCCGGTACACTCCGCGAGCACCGGTTTACCAGTGCATGTACTATTAGCTTTTTTATAGGAATAATCCCGATTCTACTTGTTCCCTTTTGTCTCGGGGTTTGCCACTATTTGTCGTGAAGGGATTTGATTGGTCTTAAGTGAAAGCTGACACTCAAATTACCAAAATTGAAGGAGTTCTGGCCAATAATATTTTCTTCATCTGGTTCATTTCGTAGTTCTGAACTCCTGTTGTGGTGTCTGATAAGCATAAAATGCTATATGCTTTATGCATATATTATATGCCGATTACCCCATTTGGATTAAGCCAGAAAACTGAAACAAGGTGGATACGACGCTTTCATGATGTGCAAGATAGTAAGTTCGTGAGTAGCTAGTGCCCACACGCGCACATTTCGCATTGACTTGGATAAGTCTATTTGCTGGAGATGTTTTTGAAGTCGGAGGAAAGTTTTGACATCAGCACTTTGGAAATCGTCTTCGTCGTTAAGACAGAGAAATTGAGAGAATTTGAAATATCGAAGGTTACTGGACAAGTAAGTTTGGAGAATGGCGTTACCGCAACCATAAGTTTCCCCATTTACAATCTGACGACGAAATATATAGCAACCTTGTCACTAAAGCAACACTTCCAGCAACCTGGCTAGCAAAACGAAATTTATTATAAACTACATGTCGTCAGTTACCTGTGGACCACAAAATGACAACTATCCGTTCAATTGTCTAAATTTAGATATATGAGCTAAGTTCGCATGAGCTCCATTTCTTTCTGACATCTAGCGCATAATTGCTATGAAGGAGGCAGCACTGGCGCGGCAGTTGGTAAGCGCACGTCTTGAGGAGCTTGCGGCATTGAAGGAGAAGTTGGAGCAAATCAGCACGGGTCTGGAGATGATCATGAAGGCTCAACTAGAGGTCCAAGCCCTTATCGAAGAGAGGGAGGAGCACCGGTACGAATTATCTGAGACTGTTAAAGATGAAAACGTGACCCTATCTCGCATGGAGACGCTATCATTTGGAATGTTGCTGGAGCTCCTGGTGAACAAGCTGAGTAATGATAAGTAGGTATCAAGAGTGCTGCTGGAGCTTGTAATGAACAAGCTGAATAATGATAAGAAGATATCAAGGCCAAAATCGTGTTGAAGTGTTATCAGCTTGGCCTACTTTATCCGAGTTGATCCTATAACTGCTGCTGGACATGGTTCGCCCTATTGAGTTCGTACTCGGATGACGAGCGTTCGTGGGAATGACGTATCATCATCCACAACATTTTTAGGCGCATTATACTGACGTCTTCTTTGGATACTTGGTTCTGCTGAAGCTGCATACTCCCCGTTAGGTAGCTATACGCTTGGGCAACAACTAGTACTCCGCAGCTTACGTGGTCAGGCTGTTGTGGTGTTTCAATCCACAATTCCGGTTCTATCGTTAGTTTATATCCCAATGCAGAGTAGGCATGCCACCGCCCCACAAAGTCGACAAGGCCATTTTCCGCTCGTCATTCATCGTAGTTCCTTGCCATACCTCAACAACTTCACCACGATATTCTTTGTCGATAAGAGGCTCATACATCATTGGTCGTACACGTGTTCTGTTGTCTGCATCGTCATGGTCGATTCGGACCATAATCAGACCCCAGTGACTCGCATTTAAATTCACTGGATGGACAATGAACCTTGTATCTTGGATAAATGTCTTGGGTATTTTGGTACAACCAAAATCCACCACTAGGGTCGACAGCAATAGTGACTGTCCGTTTGATTCGACAATAGCTTCCAGACAAAAATCAAGTGCACTGTCGTTCAACCAGCCTCGACAGAGATTTCCCACAATGTTTTCGAAGCCAACAAAAACTGAGCTGGACCTTGTCACAAATTGAGTCCGCAATCTACTTGATGTAAGCTTTGAAATAGCCTCATTGGCTAGAACTTGGTGCCGACTCATATTTGATACAGCGACCATTCAGCAACCTTACGGGTTACAGCAACCCTATAAAGCAACCGTGACGTCGGTGTGGACTCACCCGCTGAATTTCCAGATCTTTGGATCAATAGTGACAGCGACATCGTTGACAAATCCTTGCTTCTTCTGCTCCTTGTCCAGTTTGTCAGGGGCGTTACCATTTTTCGCTGTTGTTACCGTCACGGCTTGCATTGACCGAGCAAGATCCGAAGGGATCACAAAATTGTGCACGACATCAGATGGGCGCACGACTTCCCGGCGACACTCCATAGTTCGAGACCGCAGGTACGGCTTCTCCAGCTGGACGGGGTATTTTTCCATCATCACTAGAGCTTCCTTTAGATATAAAGTATACCTAGCCCACGCCACCAGTTCTTTAAGTGAAACTGTTAAGTGACTCGGGTAGGTATGAACTGCTAGTCGATCGGCCCCTCGAGCAAGCTTCAACTGTTTCAATTGAGTTCCCCCTTTGCCTCGTCGCACTGGTTTAGGCACACTGATAATGTCCACTTGTCGTTCTTGCACTTTTGTCTTAGGATTCAGTGCGGGAGCACGGGTCGCTACAGTACCGCTTGCCTCAGCCGAACGTACAGTATCGTCTCGTCTTTCGTGATTCTCCGGAATGTGCTTGTTATCAGAGAGATCTTCAGTTTCACTTTCAAACATCTTCATTATGTCGATTGCCTCAATAGCTTCGGTAGGATCGATCCCACTGAATACGTCACTCTCATTCTCCCAGTCAGTAGCGTGCTCAGTGTCATGGGCAGTGCTCACCTTAGTCGTCCCGCCTTTCAGTCCCTCGTCGATTGTGTCTTTCCACGCACTTATATATGAGCTAAGTTCGCATGAGCTCCATTTCTTTCTGACATCTAGCGCATAATTGCTATGAAGGAGGCAGCACTGGCGCGGCAGTTGGTAAGCGCACGTCTTGAGGAGCTTACGGCATTGAAGGAGAAGTTGGAGCAAATCAGCACGGGTCTGGAGATGATCATGAAGGCTCAACTAGAGTTCCAAGCCCTTATCGAAGAGAGGGAGGAGCACCGGTACGAATTATCTGAGACTGTTACAGATGAAAACGTGACCCTATCTCGCATGGAGACGCTATCGTTTGGAATGTTGCTGGATCTCCTGGTGAACAAGCTGAGTAATGATAAGTAGGTATCAAGAGTGCTGCTGGAGCTTGTAATGAACAAGCTGAATAATGATAAGAAGATATCAAGGCCAAAATCGTGTTGAAGTGTTATCAGCTTGGCCTACTTTATCCGAGTTGATCCTATAACTGCTGCTGGACATGGTTCGCCCTATTGAGTTCGTACTCGGATGACGAGCGTTCGTGGGAATGACGTATCATCATCCACAACATTTTTAGGCGCATTATACTGACGTCTTCTTTGGATACTTGGTTCTGCTGAAGCTGCATACTCCCCGTTAGGTAACTATACGCTTGGGCAACAACTAGTACTCCGCAGCTTACGTGGTCAGGCTGTTGTGGTGTTTCAATCCACAATTCCGGTTCTATCGTTAGTTTATATCCCAATGCAGAGTAGGCATGCCACCGCCCCACAAAGTCGACAAGGCCATTTTCCGCTCGTCATTCATCGTAGTTCCTTGCCATACCTCAACAACTTCACCACGATATTCTTTGTCGATAAGAGGCTCATACATCATTGGTCGTACACGTGTTCTGTTGTCTGCATCGTCATGGTCGATTCGGACCATAATCAGACCCCAGTGACTCGCATTTAAATTCACTGGATGGACAATGAACCTTGTATCTTGGATAAATGTCTTGGGTATTTTGGTACAACCAAAATCCACCACTAGGGTCGACAGCAATAGTGACTGTCCGTTTGATTCGACAATAGCTTCCAGACAAAAATCAAGTGCACTGTCGTTCAACCAGCCTCGACAGATATTTCCCACAATGTTTTAGAAGCCAACAAAAACTGAACTGGACCTTGTCACAAATTGAGTCCGCAATCTACTTGATGTAAGCTTTGAAATAGCCTCATTGGCTAGAACTTGGTGCCGACTCATATTTGATACAGCGACCATTCAGCAGCCTTACGGGTTACAGCAACCCTATAAAGCAACCGTGACGTCGGTGTGGACTCACCCGCTGAATTTCCAGATCTTTGGATCAATAGTGACAGCGACATCGTTGACAAATCCTTGCTTCTTCTGCTCCTTGTCCAGTTTGTCAGGGGCGTTACCATTTTTCGCTGTTGTTACCGTCACGGCTTGCATTGACCGAGCAAGATCCGAAGGGATCACAAAATTGTGCACGACATCAGATGGGCGCACGACTTCCCGGCGACACTCCATAGTTCGAGACCGCAGGTACGGCTTCTCCAGCTGGACGGGGTATTTTCCATCATCACTAGAACTTCCTTTAGATATAAAGTATACCTAGCCCACGCCACCAGTTCTTTAAGTGAAACTGTTAAGTGACTCGGGTAGGTATGAACTGCTAGTCGATCGGCCCCTCGAGCAAGCTTCAACTGTTTCAATTGAGTTCCCCCTTTGCCTCGTCGCACTGGTTTAGGCACACTGATAATGTCCACTTGTCGTTCTTGCACTTTTGTCTTAGGATTCAGTGCGGGAGCACGGGTCGCTACAGTACCGCTTGCCTCAGCCGAACGTACAGTATCGTCTCGTCTTTCGTGATTCTCCGGAATGTGCCTGTTATCAGAGAGATCTTCAGTTTCACTTTCAAACATCTTCATTATGTCGATTGCCTCAATAGCTTCGGTAGGATCGATCCCACTGAATACGTCACTCTCATTCTCCCAGTCAGTAGCGTGTTCAGTGTCATGGGCAGTGTTCACCTTAGTCGTCCCGCCTTTCAGTCCCTCGTCGATTGTGTCTTTCCACGCACTTAGCTTTTGGTAAAACTCGGAACTTGACATGTTCGACAAATGCTCGAGGAGAGGTTCCATCATAGCCTTAGCGTAAGTATGTTTTGCGCGTTCATTGCGGCGAAGTCGAACGCACACCACCTGTTTGACTGGAGAAGAACCACCCTTCTGGTGATGATAGGGCAACCTTTCCGACAACCCTTCCGGCAACCCTTCCGGCGACCCTTTCGGCGACTTTAGCTTGGACATCTGCACAATTGGCTCCAGCAAGGCTGCCGCGGAGGCTAACCCCTCTTGTATATCCAGCGCAGACGTCATACTCCATCGATCTTTAACTGCAGCGGCGGGAAGTGCCTCCAGTTCATGCTCTGTAGAGACCAACCGCATCAGATGCCGGCAAGGCAGATTATGACTCGAGTAAAATAGGCATGAGCACGTCCATTTTACGCTGTCACAGTTGTGTTATTCGTTGTAGCAGTGAACTTTCCATCGCGAAACACTAGACGTAATTCGTTCGCATTTGGCGTTGGCCATGAGAGTCGCGAAACGCTCCCACTCTCTTGTCACTTTCAGTAACATACCAGAAGAAAGTCTTGTAGCAACACCTCTCAAAAAGGGGGTGACAGTTTTCGGCAAGCGTGTGGACGAGCAATGCTGCCCAACAGTACGGATGATTTGATGCGCCACAGTGACTTGATGCTGAAGAAGTCCCGCGATTGTCTTGTCGATCCGCGTTTTGTGTCCCAGAAGCATTTTTACTTGATTCCAATTCGATTCCACACGGTTTGTAGTAGTATTGCCGGCTGTAAAAAAATTGCCACGAGAAAAGCTGGACCACATATCCTGACACGAGTGCCAGTTCTTCTCGAAATAGGCGAAAATGGTTATGCCTTTGTTGTCGTCACAGTACCGCTTCAACGCTTCGTATCGCGAGTCGTAATCAGTCTCCGTATTGCTATGAGCATACAAGTAAGTTAGATTGTTATATATAAAAAGCAGTATGTGGCGTACCTATGCAACAGTCTACACATCGGCATGATGAGGTTATCTCGTTGAGATACCGTCAACCGAAAACTAGATCTCCGCATCACCTTCTTCCAATATGTTATTGCGTGAAACTGGCACAGCAAAAATTTTGCGTCTGGAAATGTATCTTTGAGTACACGCCATTCCACAAAATCCTTGTCGATTACAACTGATGTGATACCCCTCCACCCTGGATTTTTATCCTTAAAATATTTTAGGATCGTTGAAATGGTCACGGCCTGTTCATTCAGACAGATGAAGTCAAACACTGGAAACCCCCTACCAGTAGCAGTAGTGACCTCAAGACTTCCATATGGTCTTGGATGACAAGTACGTCACTTCCGTCTAGCTGGTTCAACGCGCGAAGCATGTTTTTCAAACGATCCTCCGCTGAATCCCGCCCAATTATATTGCGCAAGAGGTTGCGAGTTTGCTGAGGGGTGATTCTACATCCTATATGCGGAAAAATAATTCTAATTGATATATGCCAGGAAATAGACCTTAAAAATTATGGATTCTTACCAATACGGTCGTTCAGGATATTCGAAATTTGCTTGGAAGACGTTCGGGCGTTCGCAAGGGTCTTCACATCCTCAAGGTCTTGCTCGTCAATTGGAATCGGTTTACTTGTCAAATACAAAGCAGCTTCAACACGAGTAGTATAGTATAAAACGAAATTATATAGAGCAACTCACCTCATTTCTTATGACAATTTGAAATGTTCTGTCATCCATAAGCATCACGGTGGGTGTGAAGCGCGCCAAGCACCCACAGAACCGTGGTTTGAGTGTGCGCTGCCCAGTAGATCGTGAATGCTGAGAAACGCCATGAGTGCACCGAAAAACCCTATGGTGCCAGCGGAAAAGTTAAGGTATCTCGTCTGTGTGACTCCTACAAATTAAAGGTTAGGCGACCATTAGATAAATTACATAGCGTAAATAAAAATAATACATACCGGCTGTACGTTTCAGCCGACTCGGACCTGCGAACTCGAAAGTGCAGATTGTTTGCCTTTGTGTAGGACGCTAGTAAAGTATCGAATTCACCCCATGTCTTGATTGTCGCTTTTGGAAAGGGAGCAACGACGTTTTCAATCGTCTGGCCCTGCTCCGACATAGACGCAAGCTCAGCAAGATGATTGCTACTCCGTTTTCGTGGCTTGTATCCATCACGGTCGCCCTCGCTACTGTCAATACTTTCTGCTTGTCCGACACATTCCGAACTGAAGCCATCTTGTGCGTTTTTAAGCTGTCAAGAATAAGCAAACGACATCCATACACGGAAGGTTTCCAAATCTGCAAAACGTAGACAGAGGGTTAGATAAATTGCAAAAGATTCATATTATACTTACTTACGCGTTCAATCCAGTCCAGCATCACCGCCTCGTTGCAGAAAGCTTTCTTTTGCACCGTGTGCTCAACTGCAGCGGCACCAAAAGAGGGGTTAGAAACCTCCTGAGACACGGGTCCACCAGGGACTCCAGCGTAAACAATTAGAGGTGGTAACTTGTTTCCGGTCGCTGACGCAGCCAAAAAGACGGACGCTCTAAATCCATTTACAGAACTCCCTGGGAATGGTAGTTTAGAAAATATAGTAAGTCAAAATTAATACGTGCCTGAGAAAAAGTTTACTGCCACGTACCTTGCATAACATCCACTGTTTCTGCTCCTACAAAATCAATTGTAGTACGACCGCTCATATCGATGTTTATCGCCGTTTATTTCCATGTTGTACACTGATGAGTACTTTTCAGAACCCGTTTGGCACGATAAAATACCATCCTCTTCTATTGTGCGTTGAATAGAGACCGCAAACAGTGATGCTACAACCTTAATACAAAAGTAAGTGAAGTTAGTTTCGGATCCATACGAAAATGTGGAGAAGTACACCACCAATAGATAAGCAGAGCCTACTTCCATATCAGAACGCTTAGTACGACCCTTGTGAGTAATACGACGAATCGTCAAGCGATTACGCTTGAGGAAACGTCGAATGTACATCAAACTTGCCGCTCTAGAGCGCGACTCAAACAGCTGAGAGTCGAACTTCGAGTGCATTAATAGCAAACACTCTGTAGTCACGCACAGGTAGCGATTTTTACGCATATCACGGATCCAATCCACAAGCCTACATCACAATAAATTAGTATAACAATCATAGTTCATGTAGTCAATGTGCATACCTTTTCTCCAGCTCGGGGTGGCGCACGTAGGTGTGCGAGTGGGCAGCAGTGTCAGCATAACACTTACTGGGTGCTTTAGCATTTGTCAACAGCACTTGCTTCTTCTTCCAGCGATAGATTGTAGACCGATGAACTCGGACCTTCGCCGCAACGGATGAAGCAAGGCTCGCGCTGTCAAGCAGCTTGAGGGCCTAAACCAGACAGTAACAGCTAGCGCTTTATACGCCAGTAGTTATCTTAAATGCTTGCCTTAAGCTTAACCGAGTTACGGTTCTTGGGTCGCCTTGGCATGTTGTGCCAAAATCGCGAATAGATGGATTACGTTTTGGCGGGAAATTCTGGTGAGTGGAGGCCAAGCTGTTGAACTATTTACGCGTAAAAACTAACTGGGACAAACGACATTTTTACAGCTGTAGCACTGGGCCCGTAGTTTACGGTAGCTTCTTTCTTTTGTTATTAAAATGCGTACCGGACATGACGCCTGATGTCGCGTTTCTCGTGGGTGACTGGAGAGTCCCTGAAGCCGTCGTGAACTTCCTCCGTCCTTCTCCCGCTGCGCCACTCTGCGTGCGCTTTCGAAATGAGAGGCTATGAATGAAACGTACTTAAAATGATTTTTACTGTAATTGTGTACTTATACAAACGAAACGAACTTACGAGTTTCTGATAGTATAGAAACAGTAATTTTGAGCGGAAATTTTTAAATTCGTCTAAAGCAACCATAAGTTACAAAAGCAACCTTACATGTCTCACAGTTAAGGTTGCGGTAACCACTCCGAAGTTTGGATGGAAAAAGGGTACAGAGGTTGGTCGAGTGCGATTAGTTACCTTTCGAGAGTTATATACCCTTTCAATGTATTGTACTGCTGAGTCCTTCTTACATTACCGCTCTATGGAAGTCGGAGCGCACACGCGAAGCTCCTTTGTCGGCTCTACGTCATCGTAGTTAAAAAAAAATTCAGCGAAATTGTATAATAGTATTAAATACTATTAATATCGCAGTGCAAAATATAACAAGAAAAATGTCTTAAAATGAGTATTTTATCTTTTTGATAAACGAAGTACATGTACCGGTAGCCCACTTTTTGATAGCGGTATTTTTCTTACCTAACGACCCCTTAAAATTAATCAATGTGGAATCAGATTTGAATCCAAACGTCCCGCCATTTTTTTTTCGTACCAAGTGGCATGTTATCACCACCGCCGCCGCCACCGCATGCGCTAGAGCCTGCTGCCGGCCCCATTATAATCAGCCACGTCAACGCCGGTATCGAGTTCATCGACGACCTCGTACGTTCTTCACTCAGTATCTGTCATATCTTATACTTCTAACGCTGTCACCACCAGTCCAATGACGACGAGCGCGATGAGCTCGTGGAACAGATGAATCTACACGGGAACGCAATCCAGTCAATGGACGGACTGGAGGCCTTCAACAAGTAATATATAACATATGACAGACCATTCCAGCGACAGCTCACAAGTGCTTGTCACTCGTAGATTGGTGGAACTCTGTCTGTCGAGCAACTACATCGAGGAGATATCGTTCCATGCACTGCAACCTCTAGCGCATCTCCGCGTGCTAGACTTGTCAGCCAATAGGTATCTCAGTACTTAGCTCTCTCCTGTATGCCATCAAGCTCTAGCTAACGTTTTTGATGACAGTATTTCGTCGACAATAGGATTTCCCCAACTGCCACGTCTGGAGGAGCTGTCGATGGCTCACAACTGGTACGTTCATTGCCACTTTTGGCCCTTAGTACTATTTTATTCATTAATACTCATCTAATACTTGCAGTTTGCAAGGTTTAGACGGCTTAACACGCCCCATTAAGTTCCCTAAGCTGCAATATCTGGACCTACGAGGCAACGAGGTCGCAGAATTAAACGACCTGATTATGCTGCAGCGTCATAAGGTGATCAGCTGTATAACTCACGTGCTAAACTGCTTCAATACGTATTAATTCTTTGATATGTAGCGACTCTCTCACCTCCGCCTACAAGCAGCAAATGGCGACCAAGCTAACCCAGTCTGTGACCTTGAAGACTATCACCATGCTGTTATCCACGTACAAAAACCATACAGCTGTATTGATCTCAGTGTTGCGTTAGCTCATGTGTGTTTGTGGTTTGTAACATGTAGATGTTACCGAAATTGACATTACTGGACGAAGAAGAAGTCGAGTTTTTGAAAGAGATGGGCAGTCTACACATGCCAAAGTATCGTTCACTCATGCGTCGGATAGTGGAAAGCAAACGCAGCGATCGTCAAAGCCCACGGGAGGACAGACAAAGGCTTGGTCGAGGTGAATTACCGCAGCACAACCAGTTAAACCGTGGACGGTACGGCGTGTCACCTCCCAGTGTGGACACCACCAACTTGCATCATACAACACGAGACGAACACAAGACGTCGTCTCCCGAACTGAAGTCTGCTCTTTTAGTCTCTACACTTGAGCCTATACAGCAACAGCGGCTCGTTCTGAAAGATACCGGTACGAATACCAGTGTGGATCTGGAGAAGGATATCTTCAAGCGTGAACAAGTCATGGCACATAAAGAAACCGAGTTTTTAAAGAAGGAGAAAGTATTCCTCACAAGAGAAAACGAGTATTTTATCAAGAAAAAAGAGCTGAGAGCGGACATTACTGATCTCCATGATAAGTACGAAGCTGCAGAGACCCGAGCGATGAAAGCTGAAGCCACCGTGCTGGAAATGTCGAGTCGATTACTGCAGAGAGAGAAGGATTTTGTCGACGAAGCTACCAACACTACTATGTCTGAGGATGACGCACTGGAAGCCTCGTATCAACAGGAAATAGAGCGTCTTAGTGCTGACAACTCAGATTTAAAGAAGAAGGTTACAGCACTGCAAGTTGACGTCGCTGCAATGACCCAAAGCCTCCGTGAAGCGGAGCAGCGCTTACAAGAGAAGATGGCTACATTAGAGAAAAGCGAGAACAAGGTCGTGGAAGTCACTGGAGAGCTGCAACATGCTCGTAAAACACACGAAGCAATCGTCACGCAGTTATCAACCGAAGTCAAGTACCACAAAGACCACGTGGAGCAAGCTGACAAGCGTAATGTTCACTTGGAACAGCAAGTGACGGAACTAAAAGCCAACGTGGAGACGGTCTACAACAAATGTATCGAGAAAGATGAAGCCATTCAGCAGGTAAAGAAGAGTTTAGTCGCTCGTCAAGACGAGATCGATACGTTAAGATTCCAACACGACAAAGATAGCGAGCGTCAAGACAAATTCCAGCAGCAACAGCAAGATCTGTACGACCGTCAGCTCCAAGCGTCGATCATCCAGGTCGAAATGGAGTTCCGTAAGGAATTCCAGCAGTCAGCACACAAGTTCCAGTTGTTACAGCGTAAAAATCAGGAGCGTATTAAGGAGATCAAGCGCGTTCGAGAGGCGTATCAAGGGAGTCTCCAACGGGAAGCAGCTGCGAGAGCCGAGATCGACAAACTTGGAGCCATTTTAGCAGACGATAAGAGGCAGTTGTTCGTGGCAGATACCAAACGAATGGATACATTTAAAGCAGCTATCCGAGAGCAAAAAGCCAAGTGTAAAGAACTGGAACAAGAGCTACTACAAGAGCAGAAGAAGAGTGCTCAAGTGGCTGTCTTGACGGCAGAAAGAGACGAGAAAAGGCTGGAAATTGAGCGACTTGGAGAAGAAATGCGAGTGCTACAAGAGCAGCAGGAAGCGTGGCAGAAACTGGAAGATGACTTGCGTGCGGCTCTTAAAGTCAAAGACGTGATGCTCGCTGATCAGCTACGTCAGATAAGAGAGCTACGTGACCAGAATCAGAACGCTGAAGTGCAATTTAGCGACGAGATAGCTGAGCTCCAGACGCAGATTGAAGACTTGGAGGCTGCGTTAGACGAGAGTCTCCAGAAGGCAGCGGAAGAAGAGGTCAAGAATGAAACGCTAAGTACGAAAGTTGTTGCGTTGGAGAAGGATGTAGTGAAGAAGAACGAGCTGTTGACTTCTCTTCAAGCGGAGTTGGAGAAGAAAGTATCCGCTCTTGAGTTCTTGGACCAAGAAATGCAACGGATGCGAAGTGTTCTTGAGAATCAGGACGAGTTATTCCACAAACGTATGCAGAAACATGTCGAACAACAACGAGAAGAAGTGGAGCGTGTTCGAGCCAGTGCAGAAGAAGAACGTGAGCATCAAGTGCAAGGTTGGGCAGCTGAACGAGGAGAAATGATGCGTAAGTACGAGACTCTGGCAGCGGAATTGGAGAGTGTAGCTACGCAGAATACGAAGCTGCGTGGTGCGTTGGACCAGGAACGCAGGAAGACAGCACAGAACGACCGGGATATGAGGATTCTACTGGCGCAGATTGATCGTGAGCGGCAAGCAAAGAAAGAGAATTTGCGACAGATTAAATCTCTATTCGAGCAACTGCAACGAGAAGCCTCGTAATTGTTACAATGTTGTTTTAAAACGAGTCTTCGTCACTTCCATCTTCTGAGAAATACTCTAATTCTTCCGACTGCACTTCTTCTTCACTGATATCCGACTCACTTTGCAACGCTCTCTTCTTCTTGGCGTCTTCTTCAGCTTCATCCTCACTCTCCTCTTTCTCCTTTTCAGTCGCAATTGGAGGACTCTCGTCACTGTCACTTGAAGCATCGTAACCCTCCATACCTGCAATCTCGTCTTCTGCATTCTCGTCCTCACGTTCTTTCTCCACTTTGGCTTGGGGTGGCAACGTCTCGTGTTCGTCCGACTGTGACGCTTCCACTACCGATTCAGATGGCTCCATCGTACTTTCCTCTAACTCACTTCCTTCTTCTTTTAATACACTACAATCCTCTCGTGTTATAGTCAAAGAAGGTTGTCTCTTTTCAGTCTCATCGGTACCCATTTGTGTCGGATCCGGTAGATTCTGTACGAGTCGGTCTAGAAGCCGCTTCAGTTGCGTCTCACTCACAACTCCGGGAGCTAAGAACCGACCGTTGTCTTGCTGCAATTGACGTGTGATCTGCTCCGTTTCGGATGTTTTGGTGAGCATCGGGAGCTCAACAACGTGCAACTTTCTGGCAGGAAGAGAAGTTCCGTTGCCATCTCGATACACATACAAAGACGTGGAGTTCTCGCCGGTTGCATCCACAACACCTTTCAGATCGTCTTCATATTCGAGCGCTAGTGTCGGGATCGGCGCATACTTGAGGCCGAACCGGGTGGGGACGATCATTGCTTGAAGTGCGCTATACATGTACCCATTCGCGTCGTTTCGCGTTCGATGCAGGTTACAATAGGGGTACAGTCCTTTTCGACGAAACAGCACACCTTATAAACGCTGCGCCAACTATTTATGGCTTCTCACATGTATAGTGCATGCTCATATTGCTATATGAGCTCCCAACACCTCGACGTATAGTCACCATCCTGCATCTACCAATTGTAGCCATCTTCTTGTGATGGCAACAGTGCAACCCATCTCCTTGACAGAGCGTAACCCTGTAGAGAGGGTTACGTTCCGCTCTGAAGACCTGACGTGGCACCGCAATCTGCTCCACCTGGCGGACTCGGACGACGAGAGCTCCATCGACTCCGCCTCCGACGCGTCTTTCTCTTCACAATCCTCCGAAGTGTCTTCTCTCAGTGCTCCCAGTGACGAAGAGAGCGACTCGGAGTCCGACTCGCTCTCCTCGTCTTCAGATCAAGACCAAGTGGACATTCTGACCCAATATTCATCCGACGACGAAGCTATCCGTCCACCAGAGTCCACTCAACCTTCTTTCACGCTAACCGGGACTGTATTGGACACTTTCGGGGACATGGCTCGTACCGACAATCTTGGCTACATTGCGTGGCTCGTGCCTTTCACTGGCATTTTGACCATACTCGGCACCGAGTTTCTGGCTTGTGTGAACCACTTCACATGCTCCGAGAACTTCCCGACTTTATCGTACGCTGCCACGTTCCGACCGGAAGCTTTCGCCTTCACTGGAGGCATGTGTCTCACCGCCATCTTCATCTTCACTTCAGTCGTTCTCTTCTTCTGGTACCTCCAACTGCGGATGCAACGACGTTCGGACGAGGAAGAGAGCGCTTCGAAGCAATTCGTAACCGGTTACGCTTGTCTCGTCGCCGGGGTTACTGCAGCCATCTCGCTCTTTGGCCTTGCAGTCTTGGATATGCGCAATTATCACGACGCACATATCAACTTTACGATTGCCTTCTTCATGGCTGCATGGGGTACAATGATTGCAGTGCAACTTGCAAGAAAGAAAATCCTTCATGAAGACGAGACTGCAGAGAAATCTTTCTCGACTGATAGTCTTCTTGTTATTCTCCGTAGACGTTCCTTCTGGCTCTCACTGCGTCGTTGGAGAAGCCTGGATGTCTTTACAGCGTACACTCTCGGTCGTCTACTGCTAAACACTGGACTAGCGTCAACATTCTTGTGTACGTTTATGGGTTACTCTCATGATATGGATACATTATTAACTTGCATGTTTACTTGTAGTTGGCTTGTTTTTCCTTTGCGCAAACGGTGTGTGGCCGAATCCACTGGGGTTCACTGCTGTCCAAGAAGCCTTTTTTGAGGCTGTAGCCATTGTATGTCAACTACTGTTTATGGGTACACTTTCATGTGAGTTAGCGAGACTTGCGCGACTTGTGGAACGCAGTGACTATGCATCGTTAGAGAGGGATGAATAACTGCAAGGAAGTTGCATTACATAGACGAAGTGTTTACAGTTGCGTCTACGCTTGCTGGTTGAGATATTCAACGAAAAGGTCGCCAATATTAGCAACTGTGCAAGGTTTTATGCGTGTGATCTTGATGTACTGACGACGATGACGACGAGCTTCAGCCACAGACAGTGGACGAGAGAGGTGGAGTTCGTTTTGGACAGTGTATGGAGGCACTCGTAGGCCGTTCGCTACTCCAGCGTCGCGTTGATGGGTCAATAAAACCTCCACTATGGCATTAGTTACTTCATCCAAAGCTTGAAGGAAACTCGTCTCCGCTGCAGGTGCAGCTTTCGTAGCGAGACCTGCTTTTACGGTTTTACCGAACTGAATAGCATCAGTGATAGCGTCGAGCGGTATACCAGTTCCATCCGCAGTAAAGTCGTCCGGAGTTAGGCGAAATAACGGACTATCCCATCGATTCTTGGCCACGGGAACCTCAAAGCGAGCTGCGAGTTCTTGAAGCAACTTGGGGTCAAAGGCTTCAGCTCTCGCTGCATTACGCTGCAACGCTACTTCCACTGGCGTGTCCACGTATACCTGCCAGCGTAATAGGAATTAGCATGTAAAAAATAACTTTAATTCTAACTGGAACTCTAAAACAGCATACCACACAGTATGTCGTGCTCTCTGCTTTGGCCTTACAGAAGAGTTCGTAGCGCTCTCCTTTCGTGTAGTTGAGAGCGTCCAGTACTACGATCGTCTTAGTGTTCACCACCTTCTCTACTGCAGCTTTCAGCGCACTCCGAGTGTTCTTCTCCGCTCGACTGTCTACAGCCAATTAGAGTTAGGGATCAGATACCGAAGTCAAGCAATGGACTCCACCCATTTAGAAGCTTTTTACCAGCGTAACCCCTCGTCTTGTCGACATTAACAGTGACCGGCGAGATGCATACGACCTCTTGGTCCGGTAAATGACGCTGTAGATGGTCGACCAGCGCTGTACACACCGTCGTCTTGCCCGTTGCGGGAATCCCGCACACAACGACGAGAGGCATCACGCAAATCAACAATACCGGTAGCCGCAGTTTATTAAAACGTGTGTAGCCATTTGTTCTAGCCAGATGTAGCCATGTGTAGAAAGCGTTTCTTCTTCTCTATGATGCATAATTTTAGCCTTGTTGTTGCCATCCGGGGGACGGTAATCTTGCTCAATTGGCCTTGGCTTTTGATATCTTACGCTCCTAATCGAGTACTATTAGAGAAGCCATGCCGAACTCGACAGGGAGCGAACTTAATGTGCTGCTACGTCATGTACCCAAGATCGTCGTGTCTCGGTTCGTCAACAACCCGGATCGACCTCGGGGACCCGAGAGCTGCTCGTTTCTCGCAGCGGTTGCTCTCTTCGATATCTCTGGTTTCTCGTCTCTCGGTAGCAGACTCAGCGAGGATGAACGTCGACAAAGCAGAGAAACCAGAAGCAACTCCAACACAGGATCACAAACTTCACCTGTACATTTATCAGGCAAAACTCGTAGCAGCAGTGCAAGACTGCTGCACAGTGAAGCCAAAGTATTAAAGTCTCGAAGTTCCCAGCCAGTACTATTGACATTACCAGGTACCACTGGTAGTTTATCCAGTACAAGCTCACGCGAATCAGCTCGTAAAGAACCTTCAAAAGATGATAGCAGTTCAGAGGAGGAGGAATGTCTGAGTCCACGTGATATGATGCGACAGAGACGACAAAGCAGTACGTTATACTCTTCGTTTACCACCAAGACGTCAGTCGCTACTCAAGGAATCGCCGTCGAGACACTCACCACAACGTTAAATAAAAGTCTGGAACCTGTGATTCAAGTGATATTAAAACATGGAGGGGATATCATAAAATTCGCAGGTGACGCACTTATTGTCATGTGGGAAACTGAAGCTTCACATGGCAACGTCACACCAGCAGGAGAGTTGGTATATCGTGCTGTTTGTTGTGCGTTGGAGGCTTTACACGCACTTAAGGGAACAGACACGGAGCAAGACGGTGAAGTCTCACATGAACAACTACTTGGAATGCACGTGGGTATTGGTGTAAGCAACATGACTGGAAACCACGTTGGAGGAGTTTTAAACCGATGGGAATTTTACCTTAGCGGAGATGCCAATCGACAGATGAGTTTTGCCGAAGAGAACGCGAAAAAAGGGCAATTGGCGCTCTCTCCTGAAGCTTACGACGCGTTAGAAACGCGATTTGGTACACTAGTAGAACTAGATGTGGTGTGTCATGCAAGTGGGAACTATCTGATCTTGGAGACGCCAGGAGAGTCGCCAGTGTCGGTACTAAAACATTATAATGCGATTACGCCCCTGCAAGCGAGTTCTGACTTAATCGGGTTTCTTCGCTGTTACGTACCTGGAGCGATTGTCTCGCACTTGCAAAAGGGGCTTGCGCTCACTCCTTGTCGACTGAATGTCACCGTCGCGTTTGTGAAACTTGAAGGTGTGATTGAGATAAAAGACGCACAGACGCAGTTGCAGACCATCCACCAGAATTTGTGTACTATTCAAGAGTGTGCGTACAAGGCGCAAGGCATGCTGCGTCAGTTCCTTATCGACGATAAAGGAGCCGTCGCTATCGTCGGAATCGGTCTTCCTCCGTTTTTTCATGAAAATAACGGTAAGTAAAATATTTAGGCGTAATTTTCAAGAAACTCATTTTTTCTGCTTTTACAGCTTTCCGCGGCGTTAAATTCGCGACCTATGTCCTGGAAAGTGGAGTGAGAGCTTCCATCGGGTACGAACCACCAAAAAACCCACAAAAATATACATCAAAGTATATTTTTACTAACAAGCTGAAATATTTGTGTAATTTACAGAGTTACAACAGGCTCGGTATATTGCGGCTCTGTTGGAAGCAGTGCTCGTGCAGAGTTTGCAGTAGTGGGGGACTCGATCAACCTAGCGGCTCGGTTAATGTCTATCGCACCTGTGGGAGAAATTTACTGTGATGATCGGACGCATAAAGAGACAAAAGACGCGATTCATTTCCGCGATACGCTAGAGATGAATGTGAAAGGGAAGATCGAACCTATCCAAGTATTTCCCGTGCAGTTGTATCCACACGCTTTCGAAGCGTCCACCGTTTCTTCTTCCGAGCCTACATGCGCGGCACCGTATCGATCCAGTGACATCTTAGACGCAGTGCCGCTTTTCGGCTCCATACCGAAATGTAACATTAGCGAGACGAGTACCCACCGAGCCCTTGTGGTTTGTGGAGACAGTGGCACAGGCAAAACAATGTTACTGAATCACGTGGTACAACGACATTCTCTGCTCTGTTTTAAGGGGAATGGGGATAGTATGGATACTGCTGAAGACTTCCACTCTTGGAAAAATATCGCGAAAGCTATGGCTACAGTGACGGTGAAAGCTGCAATGAGCAAGCCGTCTTTTGACATACCTGGCGAGAACCAAAGCAGCACAGACACTACAATATTTGACATTGTCAGAAGAAGTTCTTTGACTATCCATCGACCCAATCAGCATGGACGACCTTCTCGAACAAGCACGTTAACAACTCATAACGAAAGTAGCGACAGTGAAGCAGATCCGGACAGTAGCTTCAGCCGAAAGGAAAATACCGTCGACACAACTACTCAACGAATCACTGTACTGGAGTATTTGTTGCTTCATCAGCAAGTTACGAAAGAAACGTTACGGTCTCTGCGTCATTGGCTCCCATACGATGACGCAAGTACCACTGCCGAATCGACAGCTGAAACAGGAGAATGGTCTCTGAAATCCTTTCGACAAGTCATGGTCTCTATGATAGCTACTGTAAGCGCTGTGAAGCCCATCCTGCTGGCTTTTGACGATGCGCAATGGATGGATAACCGGAGTTTAAGTCTCGTACTTAAAGTTCTCGAAGAACTCCCCAACGTGTATTTCTTGATCACTGTACGAGGGATATCCAAACATACGGCGAGTGCAAGATCGATGCTACTTGCTCTAGTCATGAGTCTTCCCAGTGTGGACACACGACAGATGAACTGCTTCAGTCCTCAAGAAACAAGTCTCTTTCTATGTCAACAGTACCATATCACCATCATGGATACACAAGTTCTTAACTTTGTTTTCGAAAAAACAGAAGGCAATCCAGGATCACTCCTCAAGCTGGTAAACTTCATGTTGGATGCGAAATATATCGCTGTCGAGCCAGAGAACAACAGCATTGTGATTCTCAAAGACTTGGATGAAATGGATACATTGGTACCGCAACATATTCGAGCACGCGTCATGTCCATCGTCGACTCACTAGACGCCCTCGCACAGACTGCATTGAAGCTGTTAAGTATCAACCCTCAACCGACTGAAGAACGAATGGTAAATGGCGTGTTAACGTTGTTGTCGAACGCATATTCAGACGGTAGTATGACCGAAGCTAGTGGCATTCGACTCAAGATTTCGAAACCTACCACCGATATTTCACTACTACGTCAAGTCCGTGAAAGCCTCGTACCTTGCGAGAAAACGCTGCTAACGATTGATTCCCATAACAAACTGTACTTTTTCGTATCTGAAGAAATGCGACTTGTGGTGTACGACACGATGTTGCCATCTCAACGCAAAGTGCTTCACGCTTTATATGCCGAATGGCTCAAATACGCTGCAAAGACTGGTCGAAATTCACCCTCTCTAGCTACTACAGGGTCCGTGTCTTCAGCTGGAAATTTACCGACTTCAGAGTCAACTAGAACGTCCACGATTCATCCGATGCCTTATCGACAGTACGCTTTATTGGCCTATCATCTGTCGCAGTCCGACAAACCAAAAGAAGCGTTGGAAGCGTATTATCTCGCTGCAGAAGGTGCCATGGAGGCCAAAGAGCTGGGCTTTGCCGAAGACTGTATGCACACGTCTATCAAGATCTTAAACACACATCCTCGTATCAACGATCTGTCGGAATTGGAAACCATTTTACTTCGCAGTCGTATCGAGTTTATTCGAGGAACTATCGCCGTGGAGAACAACGACTTGAGTGTGGCGATCACCCACTTGTCGTGTATTACTCGGTTATTTAACCGCAAAGGGAGTATCTTACGATACTATTCCATCAACATTCAACGCGAAGGTCTGCCACTCCGTAGCTTTACGGGTAGTCGACGTACAAGTTTCCCCATGTCCACAAACGACCCGATACCTGCCACAATTGGTTGTTTCAATCTGGTGCCGAGCTCTCCAAAGCCGCGATGTATACCTCGTTTCTTCTCGTTTAACAACATTTTCCCTTCCAGCTCACGATTCGATGCAAAATTTAATCGCAAAATCACGACAAAGCCCCAAAAAGCAAAAATTGCAACACGTCTGAGACCAAATCGGATCCAAGCAGAGCAAACGGTCGAAGCGTTGGACCAAATTAATTTCTACCGACGTAAGGCGTCAGCACTCATCAAGCAGATCAACTATGCCAAGAAAAAGCAAGACGAACTGCATCGACATATCCAGAAATTCGCTCAACGAAGTCTTCAAGCGAAAGATAAGAGATGAACAATTTTGCTGATAAAGTGTATCCATGTTTAAAAATAACGTTAAAAGAAACTTTTTTTAGTTTATGTTTATAACATGATAATCTCCAAACACAAAAAAAACTTTATCCCTCCAACTGCAATAAATCCACGATGGCGCCAATTTTGCTTTTGTACTCGAGATGTCCGCCGATAATTTCTGACAGGTCGACATTCTCCACGCCGGCAATGTCGATTGGTGCAATACCTGCGGAGTTCAGAGCCCATCCCTGATACCGGTACATGACACCGAGCATCCAGTCTTTCTCTGAGTACCCGTTAATGAGTCTTCCTGACACCACACGACGCGCATTCGCCCAGTCGTCACGTGCCATTGGTACAGGAGACCCCAAAAGCACTGCGTTCTCTACAATGCCACACGATTCGTCGATCGTCTCGCTTTTTGCCAGTTCCTTCAAGCACGAGAAGATGAGTCGGGCGCCCATACCGTAGCCAACCAAAGTAACCGGACGAAGACCCTGTTCACGTTTGCGTAGTGCATCTGCCAACAGTTTACCGGACGTATCCGCTGCGTTCATGGTGACCGTCCAGGCGTTGTCAATGATATCCGCCAGCCGGAGAATCACGCGAGGGATTGCCACTGCAGCGAATAACGCCGCAAGAGCAGTATACTTGACGATCTCGGTGGTCGCGTAGTTCGAAACCTGCTCTGCTGCAAAGGTACGCATCGATTTACCAAAGCGACGTAGTCCTGCCTCCTCCCATATCAAGCAGTACTGGTCTCCCTGTGGGAAGCGGTCCTTCCATCGCCAAGCACGGAGCGGTTCGTGCTTGGTACCTAATTCCCATACCGACGACGTACCGGTATTCGCACTAGTATTCTGCGAAGTACTACTGGAAATGGCATTGGAGTCGCTGTTTAGACTGGTAAAGTCGCTGTATCGAGCATCTTGGTCTGCTACTGCCATCTTGGACAGATCCGCAATGCCCAAGGGGTCATTTTCCGAGTCCCCCGCTTCGATGCTGTACGTGCGCCGTAAAATAGCAAAGAATTCGTCTTCCCGACCTTTATACCGGTCCATGACTTGGTCCACTTGGTCCACTTTGTCTGGATTCTTCTGTCTGTAGAAAGCTCGCAAGTACTCGCGACTGTCTCCCCAGGCTCGACGGAAGCCTCGGACGGGTGGGTCGTCGTCGTCCAGCCACCCAGACACACAAATGTACACATTCATACCGTCTCCGGCAGATACTAAATCGAAGCTAAAGTCGTGGACACCTCTAGTTCTAGTATCGGCTTTCATGCCCATAACTCCAGCCCCTGCTGTACCGAATAGTACCGTTGTAGCTGTGACCCCCGCTGCCGAGCCCACGGCCGCTCCGATGGTCACGCCTGCACCCCCCAAAGCTGTTAAGCTCGCTGCAATGGCAGGAGCTGCCAGGCCACCGGTTACAGCCAATAGGGCGCCTCCTGTCACTGCTGCAGCGCCAATAGCAGCGTTGCGTTTCCAGTCCATTAACTTGGGTTTAGCTGCCACCTTATCGAGTGGCATAGCTGTAGCCTCGGCGTATAGAGTCTGGCCAATACCGATTTCTTCTATGGTTACGTCGGTCCATTGCAGCTCCATCGCTAGCACTAGACGTCGTAATAATGTTCTAGATCTAGCATCGTAGCCCACACTCTTCACAGTGAACCATAGCAGTCTTCTGACGATTTCTAGACGAAATGTCTCGGTCGTTAAGAGATCGGAGGCTTCTAAAGTGTCACGTTCGGTTCGGTGTTTTAGTTTCCTGGTCCAGCGTTTGAAGCCACCTGCAGCTTCTCGTTCCGGGACTACAAGAGCCAAAAATGGGGATGGATCCAGCTCTTCGACAGTCGCGGAGGAAGGTTCGTGTGCCTTATTGGCTAGTTCTTGCTTTCGGGAGGTGAGAATGGGTAGATACGCCTCGGTTTGGGTGCTAGAGAGCCCGACGAAGTGCTCAATTAGCAGCTTTAGATATGTTTTCGACCAGACGAGCGAAGTGGAGCCATCAGTCACGGCGGGGAGGAGACACGCGCAGAGACCAGCAACGCCGCGCTTCTGAGACTCGGAGAGAAACTCCATGGCGTACTCCGAGGCAATAGATGGAGTGAGAGTGCTGGGAGGACTCGACGAAGCGTCGGTGCGACGAGCGAAGAGCTTCTTCATGGCTTCCGTTGTGATGATGGATGACTACGTAAACGTTTTGATTGGTTATATTTGATTTCTGATTCTGAAATGGCTACAGCGTACTTAGTGGCTAAGTTCGATGTAGCCATGAGCTTCGAAACGACGCTAACGTTCTGATGCTGCAGCTATGATGGAGAAGGGGTTTCTGGTGGATGCAGTGGCTGAGTTCGTCAAGGGCAGCGTGTGGCGCGATACGGTGACACATTTCCTCGAGACGCACTATAAGCGGTTTCTGACAGACTCGGAATCAGAAAGTAAAGTAAATGGCTACACACTGGAACAATATGACTCGTTCATGGCATTTAAGGACCGCGTCGAGAGGATGTTGGAAGGGGTCGTAAGTGATTTAAGCTGCTCTGGAGAAGACCTTGTTGAAGCGGTTAAAGAGAACTTAAAGTATGAGTCAGCGTTGTCGACGGAGAAGAGATTCTGCATCCAAACTCTGCTCACTTTCGACGACTATGACGCCTTCTACTCGAGAATTCGCGAGTACGCAACCGAGAAACAAGGTACTGTATTTGTATTCGGCAGTAACATTATAATAAAAAAAAATCAACTGCAGCTCTTAATGTGAAAGTTTTTGCAGGTGTTCGCTACGATGAAAACGCAGATGGGAACGCGGAAATCTCCGAATGGGCACTACAAGAGGCGATCGCCAGATCGATACTTAAAGCTCACGTACGTCGTAATTGAGATGAAAGTGAAGGGACAAAAGTACTAAGTTTCTCTTGGCTTAATAGGCGAGAGGTCAACTGGATGAAGCGGAAGCGATCTGGTTACCTTGGGCACAAGCTTTCGTGCAGATGAGTCAAGCGACTGCATCAAGTGAAGAACTAGCAGTGGAAGGTATGGTTCGATAAAAAAAAATGTTGCACTATTGCAAACCTAGTAAGAAATAAGTGGATGATTTAATCACAGAGAGCGAAGCTAAAGCGGAGGCTAAAGTCATCAGCGAGAACGATCCGGAGGACAAAGAAGACACTCGCATGCATGAGCTAGAGAAAATTTTGATCCGAGAGGTACGGCGATCAAGCTATAGCTTTGAACGCTAAAAAATAATCAATTATTCTGTAGAGGTTCAAGGTGGATCTCCTCGTGGCGCAGCGAATTGCTGACGCTAATACTCAGATGAAGAAGCAGATGCTGAATCTTGCTGCTGAAGTGGTGAATCAAGATGAACAAGTCGACGATGTAGCCATATCAGCAGAAGAGGAACTCGCGGGGCTCTTCAAGCACATTGAAACCATGAGTGATCGTCTGAAAGACGTGAAGATTCGATGTTTCAAATTCGAAAGCGTCACTCAGCAGCAAATGGATACAATGTAAACTTCTTCACTTACTGTTTACGACGGCTGACTCTAACAACATGCTACGTAGCTATCTCTATCTTAAGGAAAAGGTGCACTACAAGCAGGATCTGGTCTCCCAAGAGAAGGAAATAGCAGCATTCATCCTCATGCAGATCCACGAGAAAGACGAGTCTTTGGTTCCTTTGATCCTCGAATGGCTACTACTCGAGTCAGAACAACTTCGAACGCAAACCCAAATCCAAGAACACCTCGCGGGTCCACGCGACGAAGGATACTGGACACAAGAGTGGGATGAATCCTCTCAAGCATTCTACTACGTCAACTCGGAGTCTAAAGAGAGTGTTTGGGAACCTCCAGCTGCTGGTTTCTACGATATCAACAATGAATTTCACGTTCCAGGGTTAGAAATAGAAATTGCTAATGATGAGGCACAAGAAACACCGTATACAGAGGGTGTATACAACCCCGAAAGTGCTACTGACGAACTGCCAACGTTGGAACAAGCGTCGTCTCAACTAGATGCAACGTTCGAGCTAACTATCGGACCGGACGCAACAGAAATGGTACGCTAACAATGATCCGTTTACTGAAACACTGCTATCAGAAGTTAAACTGTATACGTATACACAAGGCTGAGATGGAAAGCGTATTGGAGCGCATTTCGCGTGAACATGACCAAGAACGTAAGCGGTTGGAGCTTGTTTTTGAGCTGGAGAAGGCTCGACAGAAGGAAGAGCTACGTAAACGCAAAGAGAAGAAACGTCGAGAGAAGTTAGCCAAGAAACAAAGACAAAAAGATGACGCGTCTAAGGGAGATGGAGAAGCTTCTGCTCAGTCCCCAACGTCATCTCATGTTGCAGAGATAATCGACGTGAAGTCCGAGGATACGTCTCATCTAAATATCAACGTACCGGGACATGGTCGGATCGACTTGGCGCACTTACTGAGCGACGCACACGCCACTCGTCATCGTCAATTAAAGGGGATTTCACCGGCTCATGAGCGAGTTATGCTTAACCCAGCAACACTACGCTATCTCACAGAGCAAATGGCGATCAAGCAACCTGATGTCTTAGGACAACAAGTACGAAGAGAGATTGTGCTCGAAGAAGCTGCTGATTCAAAGTAAAAAGAAGGGAATTAAGTCTCCACTTTATATTCTGCGTTTGCCCTTTTTGGGAGATTTTAAGACGGCTTGCTCTTTTGTTTGCTTCTTGATCTTTTGTAAGTTCATCAGTTTAGCGCGATACTCTGCTTCTGCTTGCTTTTCTAAATATTTTACTAAGTTTTTGTAGACATCCAAAGCTGCATCACGTTTATCGACAGGGATACTGGAGTCTTGTCGGATGGAGTTGGCAAAGTTGGAGACGCTTTCAACAGCATGTTTCTTCTTCTGTAAAGTAGCCAAAGAACTGTCAGCATACTTGTTTTAAGGTACGCGGAATTTAAGCGAACGTACTGTATTGTAGTCGAGAGCTTTACCCCCGTATTGAACGAGAAGTTTGGCTACACTGGGAGATTTGACGTAGTGCAAGGGGGAGCAACCAAAACGGTCGCGACTTAATGCGTCAGCTCCGTGACTTAGCAGGAGAAATACAATAGGTCGGTGGTTGTTCGACACTGCCAAATGCAGTGGAGTACAGCGACCCTAATTGGCACAGTCAGAGTCAATACGTAGTCACTCAAGCTACACTCGAAAAACGCTTACCAACATGGTGCGCAGCATCAAGTCCGCCTCTGTCTTCATCAACAGCAACTTGACGATCCCCATATCTCCTCGAGCACACGCTTCATGTAGTAATGCCCGCCCAGTCTTGGGATCCCGAGCGTTAACAGCAAAGTCCGCGTCATCCTTCAGAAGCTGTGTCAATCCCTCTGCATCCCCGGAAGCCACTAAATCCAGCACGGAGACTTCAGATCGCGACTTCTTCGTTACAACCTCCTTTTTATCGTCGGAAACACGAAGAAGATCGTCCACTAAATCCACGAATCCGTCCATACTCATCTCTGTGCCTCTTCAATACGATAGCTCACAAGTCACATATTTAATGTACCCTACACAAAGTAGTGTGACATTTGTGTGATCTCGTTTGCTCAGTCTCGAATTTGTGGCCATGATGTTTGCTCGACGTCTCCAGCAGCTTCGGACGCTGTCTGTAGGACCCAAAACGAATGCAGGGTCGATTATTAACGTCCTAGCTGCTCGATGTGCATCTGGTAAAAGTGATTCAGAAGATTGGAGCAATCTCGGTACCGTTCTTAAGGTAAAAATCGATGTTTTTAAAAATGTTCACTGAAATTCCACGACTTTGACGGGCATTCGAGCAGGAACTTCGCAATATATCGAGGGAAAACGGACTGGATGGTGATATGCCGGACACCAAGCTACTGAAAGATTTAGGTTATGGCTCATTAGTCATGGCTATACGCAAGAAACACGGAGGCGTCGTGGAAGTGGCCGCGAAAATGGGTACTCCCAAGGTCGAACAGGTCGTCGACGTGCACAAGAAAGTGAGTGCGCGAGCTAAGCGTCGCCAGAAGCGACAGGAGCGACTCAACAAACACGACTTTTACTGAATACTTAAGTACAGTGGACACAGCAGACATGTAGCCATGTTTTACTCACTCACAATCCACGAGCTGTGGCTAGTCCTGCTCTTCCAAACTTTCTGTAAGTGTGTGTCTAGGGCTGACTCATCTGTGTACAAGACAAGCCGTCCAATACGTAACACGTCGCCCTTGATCCACGCTCGAGCCAGGATTTTCGCGATAACCTCTTGCTCGACACTACGAGGGCCCTTCGAGCGAAGGCTAGTGTCCTTGTCTTTCTTGACACTAAACACTGCAAAGCGCAGCTCTCCATTCGTGAATCTGGCCTGGAAAGCGCGTTGCATCTCGACAAGCCACGAGCGCTCAAACACATAACCTCGTCGACTAGAAAGCGAGATAACCAGCGGCGTTGTCGATAATTCCTGACTCGATTTTTTGCTCACATCTTCAAGCACATGCTGCACCACTTCCCCAAAACACACGCCAAGCTCTCGAAACACGACGCTGCGAGTTGATAACAAGCTTCGATTTGATCTCAAAAGGTTCATAACGGCGCTAGAGGAGCATCGCACGTCTTGGATATCTATATATGCGAGGCGTGGAGCACACCACAGAGCAGCAAGCCCTCGGTCTGTGATGCTGTTGACTGCCGTAATACTCCCCTTTCGACTGTTGGATAGGGATCCAAGTTCGCGAATACGCAGCGAGCGAAGATGAGGACAATTAGTGGTCAATGCCAAGCAGAAGTCATCGTTAAACACGTCTGGGTCGATCATTTCGTCGATTTGAGGGTAAATCAGTGCATCACACGGTTGCAGTCGATGCAACACGACGTCTAAATGTTCCAGAGCCGGACAGCCAGCCACAAGGACATTCAAACCTCCGGTCGAGTACTCATTGCGTCGAATACGGAACGGAGCTCGGGTGTTGTACGTTAATTGTAGACGCGTGAGAAATGGCTTTGACGTTTGTCCGAATGGTAGGAAGAACTCGTCGGAAAAGGGCACAGCGACCCAACTAAACTCTCGTAGTGCAACACAAGACTTGCAGAATAGTTTCCAAACGTCTCGAGACACACACAAACTCTCATCGGACGCCACAAGTCTCGTTGCCTCGCTATACGAACGTTTCCAGCCGTCCAAATACTCCAAGCGAGGACACAGCTGCTGCACCTTCATCAGGAACTCATTGGACGTTCCTTCTCGGTCGAATTCGCTCCTCGAAGGCACCGTCAACTGTCTCAATCCTCGTCCTCCGGAAGCGTCATGCCACCTCTCTAACGCTGTGTATAGTCTCCAGAATACAAAGTCTAAGTTGTCAGCCACTGCGTCCGCATAGCGTTTCTCCTTCTTGGGCAAAATCAGCGCTTCCAAGTGCGTACAGTGTGTCGACGCGGTGTCTAGCAGTTCTCCCATTGCCAAATGGTGCAGCGGTACGCCCGTTAAGTCCAATCGCAGTAGATTGGGGCATAGTTTCAGTATATTCCTCCACTCTATCCATTGCAAAGACTCGGAGGCTGATTCCTCGTGATCAGTGGGGGTCTGAGCGTCCAAATCCCACCACAAAGGTCTCTTTTCCGGTGTAATAATGATCCGCAGGTCTTGCAACTTCTCACCCGCCTTACTAGCGGACAGTTGCTGAATTATCTGCTGCTTTTGCTCCCGTTCGCGACCTGTAGTGAGCTGTAGCGTCAGCACGCGCGTGGTCTCGTGTTCAGAGGAGAATTCCGCGACGATATCTCTCCATGCACGACAGACGCATGCTAAGCGCTGCAAATTGGAGGTAGACGGCTCTGTGAGGTGCACTGCAAAGCTCGGGGCGCAGAGGTTGGTGTCGGTCGTGTCCATTTCGTGAGGAATGAGCTCAGGCGCCGCCGCGAACGAGCAGATCTCACGCTGCAGCGCTAATGGTAGCGACTCCATCGCTAAAAACAATAAAAAAAAGTTCACATATTGTCAGTAGGTGTATGTCCTTTGTAGAAACATTTCCTTAGAATATTTTTAATAAAAAGCATTTTTTGGAAGAAAACGACAAAAATTCAACGCATACATCGTTTCTGTTTGCTCGTTTACTCACGGGTAAAAAATGTTTTGTCTTGAAGTTGTTGGTTGTTTTTGTCAGGATCTGACGATCCACTCGAATGGGGTCGAGTTGGTGATGTCTCCGCGGTAAAAAGTGCCTTCAGCCACGTCCTGGTGTTTCCAGTCGGTGGTAAAGACCGCGAATTTCGCAATGGAGAAGTTGTCGCCGTCTTCCGCGGCGGTATTTGTACCCAGACTAGGCATTTCGCGCTCCAGCGTCATCTGGAAACGCACTGTCGGGTGGTTGGATTCGAGTTTTAGTCGAATTTCGTGGAATTTGCCTTCCCACTCTTGAGGACGACACAGTTTCTGTGTAAAGTCACGAAGATGGCCGACGTTCAGCAGCAGCAATGCGAACGCCTTGTCGGTAAATGCGCCAGCAGGTTCTTGCGCCACCAGTTCCAATAATGGCAGAATAATTTTGTCAAAATCCTGCATGACACCAATTTTGACATTGCGTTGCTGGATGGTCGACGACATGCTTTGAATAAATGGGAAGACTCCATCGCCCGACGTACTCGACAATGCAGCGATCGAGATATCCGAGAGATGGGTCATACCGGCAAGCGACAACAAACCCTGATCAGTAACACAGTCGAGAGCTTGTGGACCAGCATATTTCCCGGCCTCTGCGAAGTTAAACTGTCCAAGATATGGCGACGTCTTCGACAGTTGCCACAAGAAATCGTCATCGAAGACGTCGAGGTCGATTCGATATCTTGGATGGAGAAAAACCTTGAGAGAACGCAGAAATGGCAGTCCACGTACGAGTGAACAGAGGCCAGCAGACGAGTACGGACGCGAGGCATCGTCAAGCGATGACATTTCAGTCTCGATCGCTAACTCAACCGCCGCTGCAGCTTGTAGCGACCACGTCCGGATCAACTGCTCAGCTCTCGTCATTAATCCGATCGTAGTTGCAAGTACCGAGCTGGCACTCACCGACGTTCTTTTACTTCGAAGAAAGGCGCCAGTAAAATCGAACGAAAGGTCAGTCAGACGACACTTTTGAGTGGCTCCGAAAGGTTCGAAGAACGCGTCGGTGAAAGGTACCACAGCCCCAATTAAACTCGCGTAGGTCAGAACATTGACTACAGAAATTCCCCCAGATATCCAGTGAGACGCGCCATTCTTCATCGCACAGAGCAGCACCCCATCCATCATTGACGTACGTGAGCTTCCAGCCATCTAGAATCTCCACGTTAGGACAGAAACGAGCGACTGCAGTTAAGAACTGGTTCGATAGAGCTGGGATATGTGGAATCACAAGCTGACGCAGTCCACCGCAATGACCTCGAACGAACCAGCGCTCTAAAGCTGCAGACAGATGCTTGATAAGAGCGACGTCGTCGATATCGTTGCGATAAGCGCCAATGATCTTCGGTGCACGCTTACTCCATCGCATCGGTAGCGGTAGCACCAGTGCTTTCATCTTTAAGCAATACTGTGAAGCTACATCAAGCACTTTTGCCAGATCCCGTCGCGATAGATACGCCATCTTGGACACGTCGAGTCGCTGTAAGTTCGGGCACGAACTGAGCAACGCCTGCCAATCCACGACCTGCGTCCTCTCTGTGCCGACACTTCTTGTCGTGTGTCCGAACAGAGCCACCCGCAGCTCTACAACCCTCGATCCAGTAGCGGCCACGTCACTTAGCAACGCCATCTGCTGATTCGCTGCCTTGTGCGAAAGATTGAGCTTGACGGTGCGTTGTTGATACTGTGTCAGAATTTCTCCTAGAAGATCGCGCCAATACTGACAGACCAGTCGCCACTCGGCTATTGTGGCCAGTGGCGTCTTGTCAGGACGCACTAGTCGTCTCCAGCCTCGTCGCTTCGTGGGCAGCACCTTGGCCTCCGACACGTTCTTGACCGCGAAAGAAAGCACGAGCTCCATCACGGCACGGGGCAACGTCGTCATGCTCAGACGATTAGCGATGCGCACGCTAGAGACATCGCAGAGCTTGGGCTTGGATTGCACAGGCTCCACGCTCGTCCCATAGGCTGGGGAAGCTGCCGACACCAGCCGCTTGAGCGAGGAGCTCATGACAATGAGGAGCGAGTCACATGTGCACGGTGGAATTTGCTCCGGCTATACGAAAGGAAGTCAGATATCCCCTGGGATATAGAATATTAGAGCCAGAATTTGACTACTTAAAAGCATTTTGATAGTTGAAGTTCTATTTTTGTTTTGCTGAAACTGTAGAATGCCATGACCTTCATTCTTGTTTAAAGCTATTTTTAATAATTTGTATTAATAGTACTACTCAAGGTCCATCCTTGGTGGAATGCCATTTCTTGCTATTAGGTGTATGTGGCGTCCATCCTTGTTGGTATGCTATTTCTTGCTGGGTGTATGTGGTGGCTTGCAGACGCGATGTAGACTCGAGAACTCGGCTTATTTCTTGGCTTTCTTGCCACCTTTCGGCTTCTCCTCCTTTGCAGCCTGCTCCTTCTTGCCACCCGTGGTGTTGCCGGCGTTTTTCTCTGCGGTTGGCTCCTCTTCATCCTTCTGCTGCTTGGTCTTGTCCTTACGGCCCATGGTAGATATTGGGGATGGTGGTGCGGCTTGGGTGTTTGTATGTCCGAATGAGGAGTTGGAAAGAGAGCCCAGACACCGAGTGGCAATGCTAAAGGATCGCTGGGCGGTTGAGCCTATTCTTAAATATTTAAGCCGTTATTTAGACTTGATTCCTGCAAAGATGTTGTTGAAGCATGGCAACTGCTGATGTTACAAATAAAAATATCGCCTTCTTGTCGTGTCCTTATGCATCGGATCTCTAACCGCTCTCGGTCTTTGATTAGGATACTCCAATGCACGCAGTCGCGACTGTGGGGGCGATATTCCTCATTCTGGTATTCACCCCGAGCTCCACAAGCGATTACTCTCCACCACTTCCTGAGCTACCATGGGCCGTAAGGATAAGACCAAGCAGCAGAAGGATGAAGAGAAGCCGACCGCAGAGAAAAACGCCGGCAACGCGACGGGTGGCAAGAAGGAGCAGGCTGCTAGGGAGGAGAAGCAGAAGGGTGGCAAGAAGGGCAAAAAGTAATATTCCTTATCATAATCCTTAACGCAAAAGGCGCAATATGCCACTAGCATTCTAACAAATCAACAAGTTCGATGATGGCATTGTCACCCTGGTTGTCTTATATTTTCTCGTGCGCTGCTTATAGCTTAGATTTAACAGCGACGTAATACATGTATGCATGATGCTCAGGTGAGAAAAGAATCCGAAAATAACACTTTGACCGAAAAAGTGGCTCGGACAACATCGCGGTTGAAAAAATGTGGAGCAACACACATGTGTCGCTTGAAATAGAAAATCTTTCAATTTGACCACTGTGGGGATTCCCCAGTGGAGCTTATTAAACAGTACTGGCGTGAGGAGAACAATACACGCCATCACCAAATGAACGACCAACAAGGTTACATGTAAGGAATACAGCCAAGGTGAGCAGTGAAGCAATTTCGACAGTATCTAATGTATTTATGAAATGGTATTTCAGTTTTCCCAAACCGATTTTTTTGCATAAAAATATAAGTAGCAATACCAATTCTGTTCTTCTTAATCGACGAAAGATTCCATACTCTCGGTTCCTCTTCAAGATGCCGTTGCGGCTTTCATCCTGTTGTTCTCGCGAAGTTGCAATTGACGGCGCAAAATCTTACCCGACATCGTCTTGGGGATCGCATCCAGGAACTCAATTTGGCGAACACGTTTGTACGGAGCCACCTTCTCGCCCACAAACCCCATAATCTCTTCAGCTGTGCTAGAGGCTCCTTCCCGTAGCACCACAAACGCCTTCGGGATCTCCTCACCAGACGCCTCGTCTCTGCCACGCACGCAGCAGGAGTCAACGACTGCTGGATGACCGTGTAGCACATCCTCCAGTTCAGCAGGTGCCACTTGGTGACCCTTGTACTTGATCATCTCCTTCACACGGTCAACGATGAAGATGAAGCCATCGTTGTCGATGTAGCCAACGTCACCAGTGTGGACGAAGCGATCTTCCGTGATCGACTTCTCCGTCTCTTCCGGGTTCTTGTAGTACCCCTCCATCATGGCAGGGGTTTGAATCGAGTAACTCGCCCACTTCATTCGCTCCTAA